ATAAGTACACATTGACTGTTAAGTGGGCGGAATAGGAGAGCTTTAAGTGACACAGAAGGGTTAAAGGAGTAAATTTTATGCATGTGTATTTTAACCATAAGAAAAACAATAAAATGTTCCAGAGATTCTGAGGTTGTAACTACTTATGAAGACTTTCCAAACCTCAAAATTATAGAGAAGTCAGTTTATTCTTCTAGAAGTATTATTTAATATGGGGTTGACTGGTGGTGCACCTTTTGGATAGGTGTTTGAGGTGAAGAAAAGAAGCTTCCGTGACAGTTAGGGGAGGAAGTGACGAAGACCTGAAGTGAGGTGATAAAGCAAAAGGACCAGGTTTTTCTGACTAGGCAGGTTGGCTGGGACTTGGCTTTCAAGTGGATATGTGCTTGATACATGCTAGGTACTTAAATGTTTGTTGAATGAGGAGGGGGAAGAAAGAGTCAATACAGAGAGCCCCTGAGGTTTCTAACCCGGGCAGATGCACAATAGTAACAATAACATTAATTAATATGAATATCCACTGAAGGAGGAAGATCAAGTTTATGGGTGGATTAAGATGTGTTACATTTTGGCCCAGCAGGTGTGGCTCAGTGGATTGAGCATTGTCCCATGGACTGAGAGGTCCCAGTTCTATTCCCAGTCAGGGCACATGCCCGGGTTTGGGGCTTGATCCCCAGTAGGGAGCGTGCAGGAGGCAGCCTATCGATGTTTCTATCTCTCCCGTCTTCTCTCTCTAAAAAAATCAATAAAAACATATTTTAAAAAAGGTATGTTACATTTCGGATATGGTAGTGTTTTTAGGTGCAGGTCAGCCACGTGGGTGGGTTCCAGAAAGCAGTCAAAAGGCAGGTTTGATGAAGAATTTAGACAAATTTGGTTTAGAACGCAGATGCTTGCTGAAACTATGGGGCTGTACGGGCCAGTATGAGAGTGTCAAGATAGAATAAATAGAACCTTGAAGAATTCCAGCCTGTAAGTGGAATGAAGAGGAAGTATGACCAGAGATGCAAATAATTCGTAGAGATGGCACTTGAAAAGGGCTTGAAGGAAGGGTTTTGACAACAGAAGACTGGAAAGTTGGGTAGTAGAGGTGGCAAAGGAAGGGTCCCAAGAAGAAATAACATGGACAGGAAGCAGGGAAGCACTCCTTCGAAGATGCCATTCAGTCACCGGATGTTGAATGACTTTGTTGTAGACGAACTGAAAATTTCAAGAATGGGTTAATCAACATTACTGTGGGAGAGAGGATGATGACCAACAAAAGGCCATTTTCCTCGGGGATACTGTGACTATTGCTATTTGGTTGCTTGGGTACGAAAAGAGTCTAATAGCACTTGATCTACTTGGCTTAAGCTCCAGCCAGAGATATCTGGTAACTTTGTAGTGTCTCAGGTTTCTAAACATAGTCAGTGGTCCTCTATCCTAGATTTAGATGGAGTGTTCCGATTCTCTTTGTTGTGACACATCTTTGTGCCATGTCTACACTAGGTGGTTTTCAGGTGTACTTTGATCATTACTGTGTGTGTGTGTGTTTCAGTGAGAAATGGCACGAGATCATGTTTCCGGGTAAAGGAGGTAATGGCAGCAATGCCGCTGTCCACAGCTCAAGTATCATACACGAACGCGTGCTCTGAGAAGATGGCATGAAAACAATTTAAGCTAAGCTGAGTCCTACTTTCCCCAAAGACCCTACACTTGGTTTCAAGGATTCACAATTTGGTTGATATTAAAGACATAGAATTTAAAAAATGACAAACAGCCCTGGCCAGTTTGGCTCAGTGGTTAGAGCATCGGCCTGCGGTCCAGAGAGACCCGGGTTCGGTTCCCGCTAAGGGCGCATACCTCGGTTGCAGTTTGTCCCCGGCCCTGGTCGGTCGTGCGGGTGGCAGCCACTCGATGTGTTCCTTTCACATCGATGTTTCTCTCTCTCTCTCTCTTCCTCTTTCCCTCCTACTCTATCTGAACAAAAAATGAAAAAATGTTCTCGAGTGAGGATAAAAAAAAAAAAGACAAACAGCATTAAAAAAAATCTAGAGTACCATTTTTCATTGATCACACAAGCAAAGACCTATAAAGTTGGGTAATTGTTGAGGCAAGGGTGTGGGAAAACAAGCACTGTCCTACACACCTGGTGGGACACTTATTTGCTGTGACCTCTTTGAAAAGCAACCGGCAACACTTACCAAATGCACATCTCCTCAGACCCAGGGTATTCTGGACACGTTAAATCATTGCAGTACAATTTGTAGTGGCAAAAGATGGCAATGACCTAACGGTCCATTAACAGAGCTGGTTAAATAATGATGGCATATCTTCACCATGGGCTCCTTTAGTTATTACTGCTGCTTATGGCACTATACACAAGAATCTGTTGACACTGGTGACCTCTGGGAGGGGACTGGGCTGAGGGGACAGGGATGGGAGGGACTTGTCACTCGCCTTCTGTACCTGATGAATTTGTAAGCTGTCTCCACCCACTACCCCAACTGAAGCAAAAGAGAAGTCTTCTGGTAGTAGAGAGTACACTATAGTTTTTAACACATAGGACACTTTAGACAAAGTCATTAGTTATAATGGGAATCATTTAGAAAAGTTCAAGAATTGAAGGCCATCTTATCTTTTCCACCCAGTTTTTCTCTCCACACAGAACATGAGGCAACAAGGAAGGGAAGGTAAGAACAAGACATCACAAAGAAGTCAAGAAACTGGTAGGGCAGAGACTTTATTGTGGCTGCTTGAGTAAAACATTTAACCCTTCGACATGTGCATTAGTTTTGTTGTTTGTTTTGCAGGAGACCACAGTGTGATGCTCAAAGGCCTTTAGCCTCATCTTATGTCAGTCTAGCTAATGGTTGCCTATTTTATAGCTCAGCTAGTAAGAGAAAAAAGTCAGGAAAGCCTGGTTTAACATCCCAAATTAAGGGCTGCAAAATCTGCAGTCCATGCATATAAAGTGCTTATGTTCAGTGCAAAAAGGTCAGATTCAGAAGGGCAAGGAGATACCAGGGAATGATGTTTCCCGGGAGACAGATGCATTCTACAATTCAAAGGAGGAAAAGCCACTTGTCAAACTTCCCCCAAAAGAGATCTAGTATTTTGTTTGCAGTCTTTCTGCTTTCTAACAGGATGAAAACTTTGAACCTGATAGATGTCCAGAATAGTTGTTTATTTTACTATCAAAAAACCTGGTTCAGAGGGAAGTCCACAGGGTTTTAAGCACCAGAGATACTGACTTCGCTTCTAGTTCCTGTTGGTCTCAGCAGCAAATGTGAGATCAACAGGCTGAGCTCTGGCTGGTGGGAGGCTCAGAGCTGCAGAGCTTTTCTTAGGCCTCTCATTTGCAAATCCAAGTCACTGAGCATGACACTCTTTCTAAAACATTGTCACATCTCAGGTGGGAAGACAAGCCCATATCAACTCAGCACATCACCTAGTTTCACCAACTGGATAGGATTTATTCAGTGTCCCCTCATCTGACTCTTGTCTGCAGACCCACCTCCAAATGGAACCCTTGACTCCCTCTGTTAAGACAAAGAAGTGCCTGCCTTCTCAGTGACCCCAGGTCTCTGCACATCCATCCTTCGGTCTTGAAGAGACTGGAGAGAAGTAGGAGAGAGGAGGAAGTGGTTTCCTAACCAACTGAAGGGTCATGAATAGGACTGTAACTCAAATAGGCAAAAGCTAGCCATTCATTCTGGGATCCTGGCTACCATCTCTCTCCCTAGACTCTCAGAGGGAGCCACATCCTCTAACTTTGCAGCAGTGACAGTCGCAGAAGCCAGCTCTGTGCTTGTAAACAACACCCTGCATTTCCGTTCGGAGAGGCTGCCCTTCCTCTCCCTGCTGGGTGAATCCAGTGGTGACCTCCTGCCCATATCTGGTGTTCAGACCTGCCACCTGTATGCACACCTGTGGCTTTCAGACGCCAGCGCCTGAGGGAGGACCCTTCTGTTCAGACTGCCATCCAAGGACTCGTGGTCACTCCTTGTGCTTTTGAGAGGAGACACTTGGAGCAGTTTGTTCCACAGGTAGCACTTGCCCCAAGGCCATCTCTGAAGCTGGGAAGGGGAGGGAGGGAAAGAGGCAATCCTTTTGGTAAAACCCTAGTCACGAGGAGCTACTGGAATGTCTCCACAGAGGGGACTGTGTACAAACAGGATGACCCGGGGTAAGAACCAAAACGCAGGGAGGTTCGTCAGACCGGCAGAAGTCTAAAATAAAGTGCCTCTTTTCAGCGGGGGAGGGTTCACTGTTCAGAAATGCTTGGCGTAAACCTGAGCGCACGGGAGCGCGCTCTCACACTCACTCACTCTGAGGTAGAAGAACTGACCATCTCCAGGCTAACACACAGAGTCCACCGTCTCAGAGAAACATGGCACTTGCGTGAAAGGTCCTGTCCTTGTCCCAGACGGCAAGGAGGGTCCAGTCCAGCTCTCTCCGACCTGGGCCAAGCCAGGGAAGTCTCAGTGCACAGGAGGAAAGAGGGGGAGAGCATCTTTATCCCTCCTGTCCCACAGCTCTCAGGGCCTGCTGCCCACGGTCACTTCCTGGCGCCCGAGCCAAGGGCACCCCGGGCGTGGCTTGTCAGAAGCCACTGGGTGCAGATGTCTTGCACTACAGAATCCCCGCTGCTCTCGGCGGCCTGCTGCACCTGCTGGACGAGGACGGTGGCCCGTGAGTGTTCTTGCTTCACGGCAATCAGATAGGCAGAACGCAGCTTGCAGCATGTCAGGTAGGCCCGAACCTGGCGGGACCGTGGAAAGGAAAGGTCACTGACGAATCACCAAGACGCACACAGCGTTGCGCCAGAGCTCAGGCACACAGCTTTTACCTCTCACCCACTGAAACAATCACTGGGTTCTCACCGTTTGTTACAGTACTGCAACTCTTCAGACATTCCAGACACTAGGCTACTACACTGTGTTACTTTACAGTGTAAAAAGTTATTACAAATAAGTTAAGAACTTCAGAGAAGTGAGCAGGAAGGCTGAGGTTGGCCTCTGTCCTTTCCCCCCTCACTATCTCGGGCTCTCCGGCTTCCTCCTGGCTTCACTGCCCACAGGTTGTGGTTTTAGTTATTTGGGTGATTATTTGATTAATGTCTGTCTTCTTGACTAGGCTTTTAAGATCCATGAGGGCAGAAATAGTGTCTGTGTTTTCTACCCTTGTATTCCTGGTGCCTAGCACAGGGCCTGTAGTAGGTGTTCAATAAGCACGTATCAAGTGAATGAATGAATGAATAAATGAATGAACAATTATCCCTGTACCCTACAATGAGCACACAGATCCCACTCCTTGTTTTTTCTGTTTCTAACCTGATGAATTTAAAATCTTTTAGCAGGAAATTTGAGGAATAAAACTTATAAACATAATTAGAAAAGGTCTAACTTTTGTTGTTTGGGTCAGAGGAAGCCGTGTTTTGGGTACGGGGTCTCTCTCCTACCTCTGGACACCCTCAAGCTCACGAATCCCCAGCTTGGTGAGACGAGAACCCTTGTTCCCCTGCCCCGCACCAGCACCTCCCTGACCAGCCAGCGTTCCAGCGAGACCTCACCAGCGGCCCCCGAGCTTCTCCTAGAAGCTGCCTTTCTGCTGTGACATTCCCTCCTGGTGGTTGGAGGGGACCCTTCTCTCTTCCTGTTTCAAGGCTCCATACTCTTTCTTGTCTTGATCACTAAAGTCTTTCTTTCCTCAGCTCAATTACAGATCATCTCCCACAGCGAGAAGATGTCTGGCACGTCTGAGTTCACTGACGTGATCAAGTCCTGCTGTTTGAATATCTGCCTGCTGCCCTGTGATGTTCCCACCCAGCCTTCAGCTCCACTTAGCACCTATGCATGTTAAGTACATAACACTAGTTCGCAGGCAAAATTCCTACCAAGAGAAGGAGGGCATTTTTCCAGAAAGGCTGGAATAGGAACTGAATGAAGCTATTTTTTGGCAAGATTTTATGGCCTGAGACAACTTAAGTGCATTAAAACAGCTGCTGGGGAAAAACCCCACAAACCAAACCCTGAAAAGTAATGACTGTCTGGATCTTAGTGCACATCTTTCCCAGGGACGAAGCCTCTGTCTTGCTGAGTGGGGGACTCCCTGAAGGCTTGGAAAAGGACTTCAGTCTGGGAACTAGGGAAGCTGGGTGTCTGGCCCGGCTGTTGGGCTCTTATTTTGAATCTAGAAAAGTAATCTTCCACTTTTCAGAATGTCAGAATTCCATCCTTTCCATAGGATCTGGTCAGGATGTTGCAGAAATAAAGAAATGTTAAGAACACCCTTGCCTAACTCCTCAGACGAGAAGTGCCCTGAACATTCACTCCAGGGACCAGCAGCACTGCCGCCGGAGCAGCTCCGTGGTTGTGCAAACGGACGTTTCCCTGACACTCGTTTGTTCCCCTTCAGCTGACAGATCAACTCCCCTGCTAGAGGCCATGGCAGCCCAGCTGGGAGTTCCCAGGCCTCTCCTGGCCCGTGCACCTTCCTCCACTGGCAGGGGCGTCGGGCCTGCCGTGAGCCACACACAGGGGCAGCTGGGGATGCTCTGGCTCTGGCTGGCACTCCACGTCGAGGCAACGTGACGCGCAGGGTCCCTGATTCCTTACTGCACAGGGAAGAGCTCGGAGGCCACAGGAAAGAGGCTTGTTCCAGAGGAGACACCATGGGTATTTGTTGGTCAAGGGTTGGGTGGGTTTTTCCCCTGACTGTAGAGGGTACCCTTTTCCTTCTAGAACAAAGAAATGCCTGCCCAGTCTGAGAACCTCATTCCATCAGTCACCTGATGATGGAAGGCAGGGATTCCCTAGGGCTGTCCCAGAGAAGGCCTTCACAGAAAATGAAGACACAAGAGCAGCCTAGGACATGTTTGTCTTGGGGACAAAGAAATGGGAAGGCAAAGGCTCAGGTGGCGATGTTCATGCATTCCCCATCCATGCCCCCTCCTCACACCCCCACCTGGGTCCCTGCGCCAACTCTGGCTAACAAGGAAGCTGAGACACAGGTTGAATGGCACTGTCACGGGGAGCAAGGAGTAAAGATGAGGGGCCAAGCCAAGGTGATGTTCGTGAGCATCCCCAGGGAGGGAGACAGTCCCGCGCACCTTGTTGTCGTCGTGGTGGATCGCCTGGATCAGGCCCTCCAGCTCCTGCGCGAACAGAAACAGAGTCGTGAGAGTGAGAAGAGTCCCCGGTGAAAGCTGGGGCCCGATCCAGGCGCCAGCCCGTTGTTCTGACTCCAGGATGGGGATCCTGCTTGACTCTTTTTTTAATAAACTCAACTCCTGCTATAAGAGCAACAAAGGAAATCTAATGATAACACTAGCTTAGGCATTTGAGGAGAAGAACGGCTCTCAAGAGGCATGTCCTTGGCCTTCGCAGACGATGCGGCTGTCACAGGGGACAGTTTCACAGGCAGCATGCTTCGAAGGCCATCTGCAGACCCACCTCACCTTCTCCGCAACCACAGCTCAGCTCCAACAGTTTGCGGGCACTTCCAGGCGCAAACAACATTAGAAATAGGAGATGAGGGCCGCCTTCTGGGTGTGAGGGTATCAGCACCACTTTTCTTTCCAGAGAAAGGCTGATCAGAGCGAGGCCAGTATTACAGAGGGGTCAGAAAGATAAAGGGACCTTGTAGAGTTTCAGGTACATTGTGGGAACAGAAATGTAAAGAGGGGGATGTGAAGACACCGAACTAGAGGGAGGAGCCAAGAGTTCTGGGAGTGAGCGCACCTGGGGTGGGATTCTCTTGAATGCTTCCAAGCAGTTGAGGAGGATGGTGTCTCCGTCACCCTTGGCTGCCATGCCTGACTCACTGACACATTTGAGCAGCTGTCGGATCTCACTGTATTTCTCCCTCTCCACCAACTGCCGGGCAGCTCTGCAGTAGGTGGCGGCAGCATCCAGCTGGAAGTCCTAGAGCAGAACATGGGGTGATGGGCTTAGAGTGGCAGAGATCAACATGGGGTGACAGGCTGGCAGAGATCAACATGGGGTGACAGGCTTAGGGTGGTAGAGATCAACATGGAGTGACGGGCATAGAGTGGCAGAGATCAACATAGGGTGATGGGCGTAGGGTGGCAGAGATCAACATGGGGGGCCGGGTTAGGGTGGCAGAGATCAACATGGGGGGCCGGGTTAGGGTGGCAGAGATCAACATGGGTGATGAGCTTAGGGTGGCAGAGATCAACATGGGTGACAGGCTCAGGAAGGCAGACATCAACATGGGTGACGAGCTTAGGGTGGCAGAGATGAACATGGGGTGACAGTCTTAGGGTGGCAGAGATCAACAGCGGGCAACATATAAAAAGCTCCCACTATGCTTGGTGTAGGTAAGCCATACTGATTGTAGTCACAATAGAAAACATACATATAACAAACAAAAAGACAAGCAAAGTTCCTCTTTTGGAGTTAAGCAGACATTTAGGAAGCAACCATGAAAATCGTAACCTTAATATCTAAACTGGTACATCTCATTGGCTATTGTATCGCTTTATGAAAACCTTCTAATCAAATTCGCAACAGCAGTTCATTCTCTCTCTAGTGAGTCACCTTTTCTAGGGAAACGGAGGTCGGGGCAGGTATCTACTGTCCTGGACACCTGCTGCCATGAAGAGGTGCCTTCCTATTCGGAAACAGACCAATTCACCAAAAGACTGATTTGCTAGAAACTACCAGATAAACACTTGAACTTTAAGCCTGGTCTGGGACAACCCCTGCCACAGGGTCTGGGAGGAGCTGCTGCTCTGCCTGATCACAAGGGTATGTGTGTGTGGAGAGCTTTGTCCAACACGAAAAATGGGTGGGAAAAAAGAATCTGTTGACGGTTCATGAAGCCACTGATCCTTGAGACACGCGTAATGCTTACATTTAAGACCTGCCTGCCCAGAACGATGGTTCTGTGTGTCTGTGCAGCTGTGCGGTGGGGGGTGGTCTGGAGAAACCGCTCTGCTCCTCGCGGTGTCAGTGCCCTGCTCTAGGCTCTGCTGCAGCGATACAGCTGCACCTGTGTCCTCGAATCGCAAGCAACAGAAAAGGTACTGATCAAGCCCACTCTTGGGCGGATGGATGGAGGCGCAGCGCTTGTTGCCGGCGGCCCCTTCTGCTGCACCGGGACCTGTCACCCTTCCCTGGACCCCTCCTCCAGGCATGCTCCCCTGTGAGAGTGAGCGGAGGCTCTGCAGGGGAACAGCTGTGGGGAAGTGTCCTCGACTTATTTACATGATAGCTTTTGAAGAACTTATTACTGATTACTTGGTTTTTGGCACAGTGGCCTAGAGTCTTGAATTTGACCTGTTCTGTAATAGCCACCTTCTTGATTTCATCCTTGATGTACACGTAAATCTGCTTTTCTGGGGATACACATTTTCTGAAGAATAATCTCTCACGAAACTGGTCAGGTGCTGATCACCCTCAGCATAATCGTGAGTAATCCAAGTCATACCTGCAGAACACGGAATGCAATTCCAAAACCATCTTCTACATTTTTCCCTGCTAGCATGACCTGAAAAGGAGAGGGAAACATGCTTACGAAAGCAGTGATTATGGAGCGGCCCTTCAATCGAGAGTGAGGGCCCCATTTATTCATTTATTCAACAGATATTTGTGGAGATCTACTGAGAGCCAGGCACTAGGGATACAAGTGGACTCAAAATGGCCTTTCTCTCCAGCCTCCTGCGGCTCACATTCTGGTGGGGCGGCAGTCATCAAACAAACAACTGAAATAATATTAGACGATTACAACGGTGACAAACATGCTGGGAGAGAACCGTCGACTGTAGGTCTGAAACTTCGCACGTACCTTGCAGGCGACGTCCATTTTCATGTGGTTATTCCCGAACAGGGTTGGCAGAGGCAAGGCGGTGCTCTGCGAGGCCCCGGCACTTTCACACCGCTGTAAAAACCTAGTCACTTCCATCTGCAGCTGAAGTGTGTTCATGTGCCTACGGTGACATGAGATGCACAGTCTAGCCTCCTGAGGGGCTTCAGGAGTGACGTGACAAAGGCTGGGTGACTGAGAAGTTGTAAGGAGATGGCAAAGGGAAGGGCAAAAGACATGATGTGGAAGGAGAAGAGATCGAAACACCCTCTGAGCAGTGATGACAAGAGAAAAACGGTGGCCTAGTGCCCTGTGCAGACTCACAGTAGTTAAGGAGCTTTGTGGAACTGGATGAGGTCCAGTCCTCGAACCAGAGTATTTACAGAGCACCAGTGTGCTTCTAACAACAGAGGTCGAGACAGAAGGAACGCTGCCTTCCTGGGGTCCATCGGCCAAGGAGAGATGAATAATGAACAAATGCATAAAATAACTAGCAACTGGCCTATGAGGTAATAAACAGTAGCGATGGGGCACTTTGGGCGTTATGTTCTAAGCAGCAGGATCAGTAGGAATAATTCCTTTTAGATGAGGATATTTTTTCTCCCAAGGGTTTAGAGATGGGCAAGAGCAGCTTCATCATCAACAGATGCTCAGTTCTAACCTCAGTTCTGGCCCACCCTAATTATTCCTGAACCCTGAAATACCTTGACACATCAGCTGCAGTCATCTTCTTTCGGAAGAAGGTGGTTTTCTTCCTTCTAGAGCTGTGGGAGGTTTCTTGGAGGTAGATCTTCAAGTGGTCCTTGGCCTTGAGCAGCCATGAGAGCTTCTCTCCCAGTTCCGTGTATGTCTTTGCTTTGTGACTGAAGAACCGAATGCAGGTCATGGCAGCCCGGACTTGGTCCTAGAAGAGAAAAACACAAGTTCAGGTCAAAGGAGACCTGGGATACTGGAGGGTGGGGTGTGAGGGCAATTCTGATCTGATTCTCACCTGTGGCTCTTGCCCGCACCCACTCCCATCGATGGCTGCATGGCTACTTTGTATCGGTCACTCCTAGGCCCGAGATCCCACAGGGAAGGGGCTGGCTGAGCTCTTGGGTAGGACATTATTCCATCACAAAAGAGATCTCAAAAAGGATACTTTTGATTCTCCATTCTACTTGGCTTCACTCTTACTGTGGCATTGAATTACTCAGTTTCTCGTGATTTAGTATTGGCAGCCTTCAGACAGATTGGGAGAAACTTGTTTCCTCTCCCTGCATGCGTCCTCTCTAAAAACACTCCACCATTCCTTAGGAATTCTGCATTCATGCCTCATGTTTACCCCGAAACTACCACCTTCCTTGAATTCTGAAGAATGCCATCACTGACAAGAGATTTGAGTTTACCCCTTTAGGATGTGGAGAGAAATCCTATTACTTAACAATGCCAGACAGCAACATGGATTTGCTCTAGCATCAGTCAAATAGCAAGGCCAGGGACCAAACGAGTCTTGCTCTCTCATCTCGCGCAGTCTTCGATCGTGCACATGGCAGGGCGTCAGCGATCGACATAGCGGGGGCCACTCTTACCTTCATAAACTGCTGCAGCTCATACAGAATGTGGTAGTAGTTCTTCTTCTGCAAATGTTGGCAGGCAGCGAGCAAGTACTCTCCCCAGCACTCCAAGGTTGGATCAATGGATTCTAGCAAGTTTTCCAAAATGTGTAGCTTTCCACTTCTGTAGCTTGGCTGGAAAATGCCTTCTATGAAGACTTCTGGAGGACTCTCCTGGAGCAGGCAAAGCAGAAGGTCAGAAGTCTTGAGCCTGGGTCTGGCACCATCTGGGGTCCATTCTGGATCTCCGTCAGCATCCTAGAGTGGTGCTTCTTAACGTCTGAATGTCACACCCTTGAGAATCCTGCTCTCATGACTGTTCACTCTCTCCTCCCCTTTACTGAAAGAGCCTTGACAGAGTTATCTACGTTGACTGTTTCCTATTTATCTCCTGTCATTTTCTCTCTTACCTAGATTTGTACCTACAACTCCACTAAAACTGTCCCTTAGGTCACCAGCGACCTCCATAGTATTAAATCTAAAAGTTAATTCTTGGTCCTTGTTTTCCATCTGATCTATCAACAGCTTTTGATACAGCTGATAGTTTCTTCCTCCTTGAAAAATTTTCTTTATTTGCCTTCCAGGACACCACCCTGTCCAGGTTTTCTTTCTACTTTTCTGGCTAATTCTTTTCAATCTCCTTTGCTGATTCTCCTAATCTCCCCAGGGCTTAGGAGAAGCCGGTTTATTTTTCTACCTATAGTCATTCTTTTGGTGATTTCATATAGCTTCACTCTTTTTAAACACATTTTTTTTTCTTTTATTGATTTTAGAGAGATAGGAAGTGAGAGGGAGAGAGATAGAAACATCGATGAGAGAGAACATCAATTGGCCGCCTCCTGCATGCCACCTACTAGGGATCCGGCCCACAACCTGGGCATGTGCCCTGACTGGGAATCGAACTGGTGACCTCTTGGTGCATGGGTTGATGTTCAACCACTGAGCTACACCGGCTGAACTAGCTTCACTCTTTAAATACTATTGATTTGCTGACTATGCCTAAATTCCTATTTTTAGCCTGTCCATTCCTTCTGAACTCCAGCACAGTCTATCCAACTGATATTCAATTGCCTATTCAACATGTCCTCTCAGGTACCTAGTAAACCTACTACATCTAAAACTATATTGGTGATTGTTTCTTCCAAATCTGCTCTTTCTGCAGCCTTCTTTCTCAGATGGTGATTTCATTCTTTTAACTATTCAGGTCAAAAACCTCCGTCATCTCTGCTCCCATATCCCAACACCAAACTTATCAGCAGATTCTATTGGGCCGGGGTGGTTATCTACCATGAGTTTATAGCCATCTTTTATTCTCCATTAGTTACTGTTACTCTACAATCTAAGTGCCCAAGTGATTTTCCTTTCTATGACTGTAGAGTAGGGGTTTATGACTCAAGGTCTCTGAACCACAGATGAGCTTCAGAAGTAAGGGGATTAGTATATGTGTGTACTTTCCTGAGGAGTTTCATAATGTTTATCATTTACTCATTCATCCAAGAAATATTTATTAAATAGCTGAGAACTATTCTGGACACTAAAGATACAGCTATGAAAAAAAAAAACAGACATAAATATCTGCCCTCATAAAACACATTGTAGGGTGGAGAGAGAGAGAGAGAGAGAGAGAGAGAGAGAAAGAGAGAGAGAGAGAGAGAGGAGAGAGAGAGAGAATAAGCCAAGTAAATAAAATATATAGGTAGGTAATGAGTAATAATGAGAAAAATAAAGGGGGGGGGGGTGGTTCTGTAATTTTAGATAGGATGCCAAGGGAAGATGACATCTGAGTAAAGTCCTAAAGCAAGTAGGAGTGAGCCAGGCAGATCATGGAGGAAGCACAGTCCAGGAGGAAGGAGTAGCAGAGGTCAGGTTGGCTAGAGCAGAGTGAGCTGGGGATAGGGAGGAGCAGATAGGTCAGAAAGGTAGCAGGGACCAGATCACATAGGGCCTGGTAGACAATGCAAGGTCTAGGGCTTTTGCTGAGTGACAGGGAAAGATATGGGAGGATTTTGAGCAGAGGAATAACATGATCACATGGTTTACAGAATCACTCAGGTTGAATTGTTGGCATTAGACAGAAGAGAGGCAGAAATGGAAGATGGGAGACCAGGGAGGAGGCCATTGCAATGATCCAAGCAAATGGTGATGGCTTGGGCTGGGGTGGTACAGTGGAGGTGGTGAGAAGTGGTCAGATTCCTACATATTCAGTGTGTGTTTTGATAGTAAGGGCGCGTACCTTGGTTGCAGTTCGTCCCCTTTTCCAATGCGTGGGTGGCAACCAGTCGATGTGTCTCTCTCACATCGATGTTTCGCTCTCTCTCTTCCTCCTTTCCGCTCTACATACAAAAATGTCTAATGGTGAGGACAAAAAAAAACAAAACAACTTTCATCTCATCCATTCATCTATCCATCTATACATTCATAACTGGTACTGGACCAGGTGCCTAAACACACAGATGAGTCTACACAGGCCCACTCAGTCCAGGTGAGAAGACACAATTGTAAACAAGATAGTTGTAATCCCGTGGGATAAATGCAATAACAGAACTATGTCCTAAGGATAATGGTGGCACAAAGGAAGAGATTATTAACGTGGCTTGCATGTCCTGTGACCGCGCAACACAGAGGGTCTGCAAAGATGAACAAATGTTCTCGGAGTAAGCAAGGAGGAACAGGGCATTCTAGGTAGGGGGAACAGCACATGCAGGCTCATGGAGGTAAGAAAGTACATGGTACAATCAGAAAAACGTAGGTCATTTGGTAAATCTGGACTGTAGGGTTTAGGTAGCATTTGCAGTGACAATCAAAGGGAGAAGCAAGGGGGCCTGACCGTGGTGGGTCCTGCATGCAAACTAAGGCATTTGTACTGCATCCTGGGGCCCTGGGGACCCACTGCAGGTCTTTTAGAGGGAGGAATAGCAAGAACAGTGAATAACATAAATAACAGGCATTTATGCCTTAGAAAGCTCACTTTGGGGTGGGGTGGCAGGTACAGGGGTGAAAAGGGCAGGGAGTAGGCTAGGAACAGCGCGTTCTGTGCTCCAGGCATTCAGTCATTGTCACAATGTTGTCTGTTTTCTGTTGTTCCAATCTGCTTGTGAATTAAGGTAAGATATTTCAGTTCAAGGGTAACTGTGATCACAGCAGATAAGAAGAAATCTTCTATCCTAACTGTGGCAAATGTGAGGCAGGGACAATGCTGTCGTCAGCTTATACCAAGATAAGTACGTAAGCAGCTTAACTCTGGACTAGTCATTAGTTAGAATAAACAGACCTGGGTGATTTCTATTGTCTATTTGTGCTTGGGAGAAGCAGATTTACCTCAAAACTCATTTGGAAACCGAGGGAAAGGAAAAGGTTAGCAATTAAACTCTAAATAATATAACTTTCATGTTATTCTTGAGACCTGGTTAGTAGGTGAGGCAGCAGTGAAGACAATTCCCTTTCGCGGTCCTGTAGGGATGGTTACTAGGACTGTGAGTCATTGAATTCACTTGGAGCAATACTACAAGACAGGTCTATTTGCAAACTTTCATTGGCTGCCATTCTGAATGAGAGTGGCACACTAAAATTACAGTAAAGGACCTTGAGATCCTTTAATTTTATATGAAATTTGGTATGAATCAGCCAATTCTTCATAAAGTTTTCATGGAACATCCAGATAAAAAGGGGAATGCCACAGGGTCATGTTGAAACAGAGTCCTGACTTTGCTCACAATGGCTCTGGAGAAATGACGCCTCCAGGGTGCCTTTGCTCCCTGTGGGAGGAGGGTAGCGGATGCCAGAGGGAAAAGGAGAACAGACTCTCCTTCCATTGGGTGTTGGAGCTCAAACATAGGATGTGTGCTATGTGAGAGTATGGGTGATCCCTGGCCCTTGTGGGAACAGCTCAGCAGATGAGCCGCCGGGTCAGCAGCAGGACATAGTTCCAGGGCCGGTGGGAGGTATGTGGAAACACAGAGGTTAAGCAATTTTTCCAAGGCCACACTTCTTACACCAAACATCTTATTCCAGAGATCATGCTCTCAACCACTATTTGATTCTGCTGTGTGCTTTGGCAGAAGGGACGGCATTGGTCATTGCCGGTCAGAGGGCTATATCAAATCACGATCTGTGTAGACAGAATTTCCATTTGATCTCACTCTGGCAGAGGAGACCTCATAGTTCAACACTGGGTTTAGTTGAAGGGGGTTATCCATCCCTCCCCTGCCCTTTAATGGTGAGTGGTCCACCTAGAAGGGCAAAGTGGGCACTGCCCTTTGTGAGCTGTGTCCGTGTGTCCCACCTTGTTGAGCAGGTGCAGCAGGGCTTCCCGCAGGCAGCTGTGCCTCACGTAGAAGCTGATGATGGCCAGGTTGGTGCTGTAGCTATGAAGGTAGAAGAGGCATTCTTGGTAGTAGGTGTTGTTCATGATCTTCCCTTCAGGAATCACCTCCAGAGAGAGGCTCTGGGTCCGAAGGGTAGTTTCCAGTTCTTTCAAGGTGGCCAAGTAATCATCATCTTGCTGACAGGAAAGGAGAGAGTGTGAGGGAAAAATGAAACTCAGTAAGTTCTCAGCAGCCCTGAAAATGATCAAATAACATTTAACAACGTGGAAAAACGCTCACGGTACAGTTTTAAGGGTAAAAAACGGACGGGATGCAATGTTATAATACCGTGTAACATCAATTGCATTAAAAAACATTAACAGGCCCTGGCCGGTTTGGCTCAGCAGTTAGAGCATTGGCCTGCGGTCCTGAGAGACCCGGGTTCGGTTCCCGCTAAGGGCACGTACCTCGGTTGCAGTTTGTCCCTGGACCTGGTCGGTTGTGCGGGTGGCAGCCACTCGATGTGTCCCTTTCACATCGATGTTTCTCTCTCTCTCTCTGTTCCTCTCTCTCCCTCCCACTGTACCTCAACAAAAAATGGAAAAATGTCCTCGGGTGAGGATAAAAAAAAAAAAAAAATAACAACAGAAAATTCACCAAAATCTAAATATTACTTAAATCTTAGGTATGAGATTATATGTGACTTTTATAATTAAAAAAAATAATTTTCTGTTGTTTGCTTAAAAAAATTGACTCTGTATTACTTACCTAACCATAGACTTATCAAACTATAACGGAGAGAACACAACCCAAGCCTGGCAGCTCTGAGCCAGGACTGCCACTGCGGCTGAGTGGAAGCTGATCTTTTCCCCCGGTCATGACTGCTCCTGGGCCTCCCTCCCTGAGCGGACCCTCCACCTGCTGTGCTCTTACCAAGGACAGGAGCGGCCTCACTGTGGACTCCAGGTACTCAACCACATCCTGTACCAGTCTTGAGCCATGACTCAGCTGATTGAGGTCAAAAGGGGGCTTCAGACAGCGACTGAACTTTTCCCGTGCGGCAGTGAGGTTCCCAGCTTTGAGGGAGGCCATTCCCCAAGCATGCCACGCCCCACTGGTATCAAGCCCAGTCTTTGTGGAGACCTGGAAGGAAAATTGCTCCTTTTAGAGGTAACTACACCAAGGTGTGAGAGCCCCTAAGACCTATTCTATCTCCTTGCTGCCAATCATCTCTCCCTACCTCCCACCTTGGCAACTGGTCATGCCCTATATACTGCCCCATGGTCAAGAACATGAGAGTTGGCAATACCTGTTTGCTAAGCAAAGGCAATTCATTACAGTGGGGTGGAAATAAGCTTTGTCTTTGCCTCACCTCAACGCCTAGTTGGTAGTACTCAGCTTCCAAAAGCTGGTTCCTCAGCCTGGTGACGGCAGCTGGCTGCAGGATCTGATCCAGAGATGGCACGTGGCGGTAGGCAGCAGCAACTAAAATATTCAGCACGTCTACCTTGCTGATGTAGCTATGGGAGGAAAAGGACAAGGCAGTGAGGCTCCCCAGAGGCTTCCTAAGAACAGATGCTTCTTAAAGATGCTCGATGTTATTTCCCATGGGAAATGTGGTGCTGAGGATAGAGAGGGACATAGACACTATGAGAGAAGGCCCTGCAGCCAGACTCTGCATCTCAACTCCATCATTAGCAGCTCTATGATCTTGGGCAAGTAGTTAACCTTTCTCTGTCTCAATTTATTCATCTTAAAATGAAAATGAAAGTGAAATAACACAAGTAGAAGAGCTTAGGATAGTGTCTAGAACTTTGCAGGCACTCGTTAAATATTAGATATTAATGCATGCAGTCGGGACACTCAGATCTTCTATTTGAGGCAAGGCCTTTACATTGAATGCTGGAGGCTCATAAGTGACCTGTTTGCCTTTTGGTCCTTTGGAATCCTGCTTGCTTGGGAGAAAGCACAGAGACTGTATGGATGGCCTGCATCCTGGACTGTACAGAGCGCACATCACTGCCATACCCAGGAGGCGCTGCTGGGCAGGGGCTCCCTGGCCCTTCCCTTGTTTTACAGTCTCCTGGACTCAACATCCTTTCCCTGGGCTAGGAATGGACTCTCATTACAGCTTGCTAGGAGTGCCACCTTTGAGGTGCTCCTGACACTGGTGACTGCAGAAACCTTACAACAGAGCCCAGGGAGCTGGATTACTCCGTCTACGGCTACCTGAACTCAAGGGTCTTAAATAATAATTCTAGCAAAAAACCCTGTGGATCCTGACTTGTCTACTGATTTCCCTGAAAATGGATTCAGTGTGTTAGTGATTCTCAACTTAGTGGGAATGGAGTAGGAAAGTACAGTGTGTAAAATCAAATTTGGTATCACTATGGATTGTTCATTTGTAATAGGTAGTGTGAGTTTTTTATGAGTTATAAACAGTAGAAAAACACTGCAAACCAGGAGCTCTAAACACACATGGGAGATGTATCCACTCCCCTCAGCAAATGGGGCACAAACACAGCAATTCTCCACAGCAGGTGTATCTGAATCCAAGACAGGGGAGAAAGAATGTGTAATCTGAAACCACTGCTGAAGCCCAAGGCACTTGGGGGTTCGAGAGACTCCTACTGAAGTAAGGACTTCCTTAATTTCTGCTGCCCTCAGCCTAAAGCAGATATTTGCTCCATCTATATTAGATTTTGAAGGAAGCATAGGAATTGATGTTAAATTTGTTCTCCCTCCCCTGAGGCTGCTGGAGTCCCAGGTACTTTTCTTAAAGAACTGGTGCACAGACTCACTTGGACTCGCTCCCTCTGGACTCCTGCGCTGGGAAAGCAGCTTCAAAGGCACCAGAGACATACAGGGAAGAACTGAGTTGTTGAGGTAAGAGCTGGAGAGGCAGCTTTCTCCCAGACAGACATGCTGGTGGAGGCTGTTGTTTCTTTGGTGAGCCCTTCCCTGGGGCCAGCAGACAGGTATCATATCTGGGACTGCAGCAACCTGGCTCACACTGTTTGCCCCACCCTGTTGATTCCCGGAGGTCCTGCCGCACCCAACTTTCGGGCCCACCCACGCTGTTTCCAGTGGCTTTACCTTAGGAATGTCCTGTCTGGGCTGATGCTTCAGATTTTCCTAAATTCTCTCAAACAAATAGCATCTGGCCTCAGTGAGCCCCATACCACTCACTAAGTAGCCCCAGGCTTGGCACAAGCAGCAGCCATCCATGATTCACAACTTGGCCTTGCCAGAGCACCTTCAAGCTCAGCACAAGAAACAGCCGTCTGCAGATTGCTTTGTAGCTTATGCCTGGTGGCCCTGGGTAGAGCACAGGCAGTGGCTGACCTTGGCCGGCACCTCCTGGGAGGCCCCAGAGCAAACACACTCAGTGGACAGCTTCAGACTATGTTGAAGCACCACCACCAAACCACCTACACAAGTGACATACTCAAGGGGTTGACTCTGGCTACCAGAGCCCTGCTGAAGTAAGCCTTGCTGTATGTGGTTGGCCCCATGCACAGCTGAACCTTCAAGATGGTCAGAGGTCAGTGGGCACAGCCAGTCCTTGCAGCTGATCAGCCTGAGAAAATCTCTCCCATTGATGTGCTAAGAGCAATCAAGACTCAGTTACAACTGAAGGATGTACAGTCCACAGGGGTGCACCTCAAGTACCCAGATGGGGTGATCAGGGAGGCTGTGCCACTGGACCTATAGGACTCCTATACTAAAATAGGCCACCCTAGGAAGTCTAGGAGACATAGCAACTCTACCTAATACATAGAAACAAACACAGGGAGGCGGGCAAAATGAGGAGACAAAGAAACATGTCCCCAAAAAAAGAACAGAACAAAACTCCAGGAAAAGAACTAAACGAAATGGAGACAAGCAATCTAACAGACATAGAGTTCAAAACACTGGTTATAAAGATGTTCAAGGAATTTAGTGAGGACTTCAAGAGCATAAAAAGGACCAATCAGAAATGAAGGATTCACTAACTGAAATAAAGAATAATTTACAGGCCCTGGCTGGTTTGGCTCAGTGGTTAGAGCGTTGGCCCACAGACCAGAGAGGCCCAGGTTCGGTCCCCACTAAGGGCACATACCTCAGTTGCGGTTTGTCCCCGGCTTCGGATGGGGTTGTGTGGGTGGCAACCATTTGATGTGTCTCTCTCACATCGATGTTTCTCTCTCTCTCTTCCTCCTCCCTCTCTCCCTCCCGCTCAGTCTCAAGATAGGTGCAAAAATGTCCTCAAGTAAGAATAAAAAAAAATAATAATAATAATTTACAGGGAATCAGTAGAGTAGGTAAAGCCAAGAAGCAACCCATTGATTTGGAATATAAGAAAGCATAAAACACCCAATCAGAATAGCAAAAAGAAAAAAGAATCCAAAAAAATGAGGATAATGTAAGAAACCTCTGGGACCACTTCAAACATGCCAACATGTGCATCACGGGGTGCCAGAAGGAGAAGAGAGAGAGCAAGAAATTGAAAACCTATTTGAAAAAAGAATGACAGAAAACTCCCCTAATTTGGTGAAGGAAATAGATATACAAGTCTAGGAAGCACAAAGAGACCCAAATAAGATAAACCCAAAGATGTCCACATCAAGACACATTATAATCACAATGCAAAATGTTAAAGACAAAGAGAGAATCTTAAAAGCAGCAAGGGAAAAGCTAGTTACATACAAGGGAGTTCCCATAAGACTGTCAGCTGATTTCTCAAAAGAAACTTTGCAGGCCAGAAGAGAGTGGCAAGAAATATTCAAAGTGATGGAAAGCAAGGACCTACAACCAAGATTATTCTATCCTACAAAACTTTAATTTAGAATCGATGGACATATAAAGAGCTTCCCAGACAAGAAAAAGCTAAAGGAGTTCATCACCACCAAACCAGTATTATATGAAATGTTGAAGGGTCTTCTTGGAGAAGAAGATAAAAAATATAAACAATAAAATGGCAATAAATACATATCTATCAACAATCTACATTTTGTTTTGAATCTACAAACAAAATGAAAAGCAGAACAGAAACAGACTCATAGATACAGAGAACATTTTGTTGGTTGCCAGATGGGAGGGGGGTTGGGAGATGGGCAAAAGGTGAAGGGATTAAAAAGTACAAATTGGTTGTTAGACTGACAACCTTGGAGGGAAGGCAAAAGGTGGGAACAGGAAAAGATAAAATGGACACATGACACTATGGGGAAGATAGGAGGGGGGTGGAAACAGGGAGGAAGAGGTCAATGGGGGACAAAAGGGGAGAATATCTGTAATACTTTCAACAATAAAGATAAATTAAAAGAAAAAAAAACTGTCCCCTTTCCCAATCTGAGTATCTTTTTCTTTAAATAAAACTTTACCTCATTTATATTACTGATATTCAAGACATACAGGGTGGGGCAAAAGTGTGTTTACAGTTGTTCATATGGAAAATAATACAATAATTAATTAATTAATAATAATAATATAAGAATAAACTGTTTCACATACTCACAACCTTTGCCCCATCCTGTATTTAGATATATTTTGATTTTTGCCAAAAATTTTATCGTTTTGCTCTATAGAGGGATTTCTGTTCTTTCCCCCCTTCTCCATTTCTGGAAAATTGATAGCTGTTGGTTCTTTTCACTCTACGTAACATGTTATATCTATTTATTCATTTATCAACTTAAAAAATGATGTAGAATCTAGTGCCTCTTGATATAAGAGTGAAATTAACTCAATACTTCCTTCCACTCTCTGTCCCACCTCCTTCTGTCTTTTTCAACCTTTTGCTTTTTGTTAATAAAAATAATAAAGCTAATATTTTTGGAGTAGTAGGTTCAGTTCTTAGCTTTTTATATGGATACTCTCACTTTATTCTCATAATAGCCCTATGTGATAAGTATTACTATCCTCCCTATTTTATAGAGGAGGAGACTGAGACCCAGAGTGGTTACCAGATGTGCCCAAGGTCAGAGAGCTCGGAAATGGAGATGTTGAGATTCACTGCACTCCCTGCCCACTGCCGAGTTTGCAAGCAAGTATTCTGAGCAAGTTCCTGAGGTACTTACAGCTCCCAAATCTAGCTAGGACTGAGTGCTGGGAACAGAAACATGAGTCACACATTTGGGTGGATAAGCTGGGAACTGGGAGTTCTCATTGTCAAGTTAATAAATGGAGGCAGAGCAGGTTGTGCAGGGATGTGAGGCCTAATCATACCTTGATGACTCAGACTCCTCCCTGTGACACAGGGAAGCATCAGTCTCCAGCATGCTTTACAGATGCTACTCAGAGCTCCCTAAGGCCACAGTCTGAATTGGGCCAAGGTTGGGGTAGAGTTTTGGTCAAGGCCAAGCATTGGACACTCAGAGAAGACATATCTTTAAAAGCCAGAAAGTTCCACAGAGATTAAAGGAGCTCCCTAAACTGACTTTAATTACAAATCAACCAGTCTTAAATTTCTTTCTGATTGGGGATGGCTAGAGAATCCTCTGCTTAGAGGATCCACTAAGGACAGAGAAGGAAAGGCACAGGCTTGTTTGGGTAGGGTGAGAAAGACCACTTGTGATCTGGTAACAGCATTACATTAACATCAGATTGAGATGTAAACATTTCAGTATGTCTTGTCAGAAAGGACGGTGAAGTGAAAAGTCATGGTGAGGCCAGGAAGAGAAGCTGGAGAGAAACGACACCGAACACAGACTTATTCCCATTTACCTGTCACAAAGAGCCAGGTCCTGGCTGCGGCCGGCCTTGACAAACATCACCTTGGCGCTAAAGAGCAGCTGCTTCATGATGTCTGTGAGCAGCCCTGCGTCCACCTCTGGGTTGGCGAGGCTCTGGGACAGCCTGCAGCAGTGCTCAATTAGCTGGTGGCCGCAGGCAACACTGTCCCGGTGCAGAGTCAGGATGGCGATGCACAAGGAGGCGCTGGGGGCCTGGCCAGTGTAGAGGACGAGAGAAACACAGCGAGTTCAGAGACCACAGCATTCTTCAAATGCAGTTAGATGATGGGAATTATTCTTCCTGTTTCACAAAGCTTGGAAAACACTGAAGAAGGAGCTGATGTCCCACAGCAAAGCAGAAGAGGAACTAGACAACTTTCAGATATTCTAAGTAGCACCTCCAAAGCTCCGGCTGCTAGGTTATGTCACCTACTTCTTGGGTATGTCCACAGGTGCCTCCTTTTTCCAGTCTACTGTCCCACTAACACAGGTCTTTCTTATTACCAGCTTGGACTATGATGGTCACCTTGCTTGTCTGACCACCTGGAGAAGCCTCTGCTTCAAATCACTGGACACACTGCTGCTAATTCATATTTCTAAAGCACATTCCAAAATCTTTCATGGTCACTGATGCCTACTAAGTACATATTCCTTACTGTAGAATTCAAGTCCCTAAACATAAATAGGCCATTTCAATCCAACCTTTTACTTCCTCTACTAACATTCTATCCCTCAAAATGAAACCATTTCCAATTCTCCATCATGACCTGTAATTTCTGACACTGACTTTTTGCTCAGCTGTTTTAGGTTTGCAATCTTTGCCCTTCCCTTACCCTCAGTCCCCTCACAACCCCCAAATTTCTGCTTGTCAAACTCCTACCACTCTTTCAAGGCTCATCTTAAATGCTACCCCTTCCACAAAGCCTTTCCTGACCTCCGGTGCATTTCCCAAGATGCTCCTCATTTTCTGCCTTAACTAGTTTACTTTTAGCTCCCATATTATTACACTAAGCAAGGGAAGGCCAGGCTGTGTTCACCTACCTGCATTTCCTGCCAAACTACTACTACACATCATAAAGAAACTCAATGGCCATTGAATTTTATTGCTATTACCTGCTCATAGTAAAAGTCATTCCGCACCAGCTCATTTTCCTCCTCATTCAGGTCCAAAATCCATTCCACCTCAGGTGCTTTGGGGACCCTGACCACAGCTGAGTATGGGGGGCTTTCACTCTTGGCACTGTCCAATACTGGAGAAGAGAAATGCCATCCACATGTCAGCCACTGGCCAGCAGGCCAGTCTAGCCTAGCCCAGTGAGCTGCCGTGAGTTGCAGACAGATCCTTGCCCGCTATGTGCCCGCCCTTTCTCTTTCCTTGGTTCTTTTCATTTCCTCTAGGAGACCTCCTTAAGAGACCTCAGAATTCCTTCTCAGGAGAGACCTGGGAGGAGTGTTACAGTGTTCCAACCCTGAGAGGTATATGCCTCTCAAATGGAGGGCTGAGGCCCTGGCTACCCGAAACTAACTTGCTGTGGAAGGATTTAGGCCAAACTATTAATAGTGATTAACTAGGGGGAATGAGGGAGCCTGGGGAGGTAGGATGATGGTGAAGGGGAACCTAGGAATTAAAAACAAACAATTAACCTACTAAAAGTTAAGGACCTAATTCTTTGGTTGCTGGCCTTCTCAATTCTGGAAGGTAATGGGCCATGATGATAGGTTAATATGATGATAAACTTTAAGGGAAACAGCTTGATTAAAATGCTAAGAATTGTCTTTGGCCAACCAGTCGGACTGAGTTACCATTAAGGGTTATCAGCCTTGGAATAGTTTTACTTGAAGGAAAAGCCTATCTGAGCATATAAACAAAGGGTCCCAGGGAATGTGGTTCAGCCTTACCTCCTGGTTGTCCTGGATTCTCCTCTGGTCCACTGGAAACAGAGAAAGAAAAAATGAAATTCCTGAATCTCCCTCCTCCTCTTTGTTGGCTGCCTCCCCACTAAATGGGGGCTCCTTGAGAGCAAAGTGATTATTGCTGAGTGATTATTGAATGAAAGAATCCCCATCAATACTAACTGCTCATTTCAAATCTCAGCAGTATGGTAGACAGAGAATTCCCCCGTCCCACCCTGAGGGAGGCAGTGGTATGCCAGGGTCACAGAACCTAGTATAAGCATGGCACGTCTGCCTTCCTATAAGATCAGTAATCATCATGATAATTAATGACAACAAATGTTCATTTTAAAACAAACACAAAAATGCTGTTACACTACTGAACAAAATGTAAAATCTATTTAAGTCCAAGTAAAACATAAGAATTCTAAGTAATATTGCCTTTGGATAGTTGCTTTGGCTCATATGCTCTAGGAGTCTCCATTTCACCCTTCTCTCCTGGGACAACACTGAGCTAGCCAACACGGCCCTGATCTGTCTTGCCAGAGGCATGAGCAGTTTCTGAAATTTGTCACCAAGTGAACTGTGTGTAGGAACATACAGGATTATTGGAAAGGCTGTTCTGATTATGAATAACAAGCCAGGATGACTAGATAAATTAAAGCTGATGAAAGAGAAGCCCAAAAAGCCTACCCGGAGTGGCTCAGTGGACTGAGCATCGTCCCTACTGAGAGGTTCTGGTTCAATTCCCAGTCAGGGCACATGCCTGGGTTTTGGGCTCAATCCCCAGTAGGGGGCGTGCAGGAGGCAGCCGATGGATGTATCTCTCTCACATCGATGTTTCTATCTCTCTAAAAAAATCATTAAAAAAAAAAAGAAAAGAAAAGAAAAGAAAAGAAAAAGAAAGATCTGGGGTTCTACATTCCTTTAAAAAAGAGAAAGTGATGCCCAAACATTCAGCAGGTATGAACATGTATGTCCCTTTGAGTCCAGCGGGGACGACATGGAGCAAGAGTGGCTGTGAAGTAGTTAAGAAGGTGGGTGAACTAAAATCAATGAGCCAAATGTCCTGATCTCAGAGAGATCATCATGTAAGAGCCCTAAACTTGGCTTCCTCTCACCCCTATTTCCTTCCTCAGAAGTTTCTCTGACCAAGGGCAAACATTTCACTGTAGAGTTCATGGCTTTTGGTGTTAAGGTTAAAACTTTCTGCAATTGTTCCAGATTTGAGATGCTCTTTGCAACGAGCCCCCTAGGAGTGTAAGGACTTGGGGCGGGGGTGCAGCGGTCAGTAACCGCAGCAGCCCGGCTGCAGAACACTCACTCTTTGTTGTAGTAACTATAGCACTGGTCACACACGCGAGTAGGGTTCTCTCTGCAGCCTTCCACAACCATTTTCTTCGTGGAGCAGGAACTGCACACTAGCCGGCCACAGCGGCGACAATGATGGCGTCTGTTAAACTGAGGAGTGGCGGAGGGAAGAGAAGGAAGGGGAGGAAGAAAAGGTGAGCTAGCGGAACTGCGAGCAGAACGGTTAATCCAGTCATCACTGATGTCAGCCCCTGGGACTTATTAAGAACACCAGGTGTTTGGGCATCTGCTGAGAAAAAATACACTAGTGTTTGTCTTCAAGAAGCTGAGATTTAAAGATTTCTCTGCTGATGAGCAAAGGTGCCCAAGTCATGAACAGTTTTGCAATAGCTCCTGATAAGATCTACTTGTCTGGCCCTGGCCGGTTTGGCTCAGCGGTTAGGGTGTCGGTCTGCGGTTCAGAGAGACCCGGGTTCGGTTTCCGCTAAGGGCATGTACCTCGGTTGCAGTTTGTCCCCGGCCCTGGTTGGCCATGCGGGTGGCAGCTACTCCATGTATCCTTTCACGTCAATGTTTCTCTCTCTCCCTCCCACTCTATCTGAACAAAAAATGGAAAAAATGTCCTCGGGTGAGGATTTAAAAAAAAAAAAGATCTACTTGTCTGTGGAGGCAACATGTAATGACAGCAAAAAACAGTGAGGAAGGAGTGACTTTCTCAGCCATGGCAGATCAGATTTCTATATGACTTTAATGATAATGAGGAAGTGTTCTGTTTTCAAAATGTCTCATAAGTACTACATTTCATCATAAAGAGGTTGGTAAAGATGTTATACCTCTTTTATAAATGAGGAGGAAACAGACACAGGAAAATTGCATCATCCTCATTTTCAACAGCACTGAGTAATATACTAGTTAGATACTAAGTCAAGTGTGGTAACATTTAGTTTACTGTAATTAGTCCTTATAGCGACATGAGCCAAATAACATGTCATCCCAAATTTACAAGTGAGCATCTGAGACTGAAAAAGTTAGTAGTCACATCGCTAGCTGGGACGAGAACCCAGGTCTTCTGTCTCTAGAGGCAGTGCATATAACCACTACCAGGTCGCCATCCTACTGTGAAGGACATGGAGCTGGGAGCAAGATCTTCTGATGTTTGCTGACTCCTCCTGCTATACCAGCCTGCCCCTCCCCCCTTTAATGAGACTGGCAAAGTTTTTGGAATATAAGGCTATTTCAGGGTATCTACCACCTGTTTGAATCCAGAAAATACACTCTGGTCGTGTCAAAGATAAATCCAGTCTTAGATTTGGTAGTTCTTCTGAAAATACCAATATCTTCTTGGGGACAAGAGGTGACTACAAACTCAGACTCAGGAGCTCGAGTTCTCCTTTCATTTGTCCTTCAGATAGAGCTGGAGGTGGATGCTGCTCACCATGGTGAAGTGCTCCGTGCGGCAGACCATGCAGAGGCTCTCGCTCTCATCCGGCACCCACTGGTGCCTGGCCGGGGGCGTGGCGGGGGGCACAAACTCCAGTAGGGGCCGACTCTGGGGGACACTCCTCTCCCTTGGACTGGGGGAATGTACAATGGGGACACCTGGGAGTCAGAGGCAGAAGTTAGGATAAAAGGTGATCAATAGTTCAGCTCATGAATGAAGAAGGAATGCGAGAATTAGAATTTCACCACTTTACAAATCCCTACTGAAATAACAGATGTGGTTACCGAATATTAACAACTGACTACATCACAAGGCAACTGGACACTGTGTATCTCCCGATGGGAAGCACACAACCACCCATCAAATATATTTACCTAAAAATATTAGGCCTGAATCAAATCAAGTTCCTAGATATCTCTACCAGTATACGAGCAACACAGGGAATCAAGACCCAGATTGCCACAGGGCAGCAATCAGCAAAGTCCAGTATGGGGGACGCTCTTCAGGACAAAGGATCTAGTTTCCTCCACATATAAAAGAGAGGAAGGGGGAAAATGTAGGGAACCTATTGACTGAAAAGAGATTTAAGAGATATTTTAGCCAAATTCCATGTGTGAACATTATTTAGATCTTGATTCTAGAAGAATCAATTCTAAAAATATCTTCATGAGACAACTGGGGACATTTGAATACTGGCTAGATAGTTGCTAATAATAAGGAATCGTGCCCTGGCCAGTTTGGCTCAGTGGTTGGAGCGTTGGCCTGCGGTCCAGAGAGACCCGGGTTCGGTTCCTGCTAAGGGCATGTGCCTAGGTTGCAGTTTGTCTCCGGCCCCGGTTGGGGTGTGCGGGAGGCAGCCACTTGATGTGTCCCTTTCACGTCGATGTTTCTCTCTCTCTCTTTCTCTCTCCTCCCCACCCTCTTTATCTGAACAAAAATGAAAAAATGTCTTCTGGTGAGGATTAAAAAAAAAGGAATCGTCCATTTGTTTTTAGGTATGACGGTTCTATTTTATAAATGTCCTTACTTTTAGAGATATATACTAATATATTTATAAATGAGATTATATCTGGGATTTACTCTAAGATAATCCAGTAGAAGGACAGGGGTATAATGAAACAAGAATGGTCACCATGAGGTGGGTAATGGGTATGTGAGACTTCACGGCACTATTCTCTCTACTTTTGTATTTTGGAAATTTTCCACAATAATAATCTAGCCCCACCCCCCAAAAAAATGTAAACCAAAGCTGCTCAGGCCACCTTACTCCTATGCGTGAAGCTGTTCATAGGCCTGTAATTCTGAGCCCTCTCTTCGAGTCTGATGGATATCATGATGTATGACTAATTCTCAAAGAATGGCCATGAAATGCCACAGTCTTTGCTTTATGGTATCTAAGTAGATTTCTTGTCACCTGGCAGAGCAATGTTGGCAGGTCACAGAAAGAAACAAACTGAAAAACAGAGTGACTCTCAGCAGCACCCAAAAGAAGAGAGGCTATAGATCTCTCTCCAGAATCCTGCTCCAACCGCTGGCAAACAACACTGGCTGAGCTTCTTTTCTTCTGTGTGTAGGTCATTGTGCAAGGGGTCAGAGACTGCGAAAGAGCAGGGACGGTAAAAAGGGGTGACCAATAGGTGGCTGGGGCCGTCAAAGAGCTTGTACCCTGTGTGGGTGACAGACACAAGTAACTAAGTGCAGCATAGGAGTAGAGTAAACATGAGGACTAAACACAGTCCATTCCTTATCAACAGATTCCATATTTGTGAACTTGCCTACTTGCTAAAACTTATTTGTAACCTCAAAATCAATATTTATAGTGCTTTCCCAGGCATGCAGGATGGTAAATAATTTAATCTCCCAAAAGTAGGATCTCAGCTCAGGTTGAAACCGGTGATGTCTGCTTTCTTATTCTAGCTCGCATGCCGAGATGGCTGCAGGAGGGAGATGGGGGGCAGGGCAGTGCCCTGCAAGAGCCTGGCTCTGGGCCTAGCTGGGCAGAGTGTGATATCCAACTTGGCAGTAGTGGGCCGCCTCAGGCAGGTCACGAACACCGCTGAACCTCCTCTTTTATTTTGTAAAATAAGTAAAATAGGATCTACTGGTATGAACTGTTTTCAATTTAAGATTATAATCTGTGCTCTGGCCAGTTTGCTCAGTGGTTAGAGCGTCGGCCTGTGGACCAAAGAATTCCAGGTTCCAAGGGCACGTACCTCGGTTGTGATTTGTCCCCAGCCCTAGTTGGGGTCGTGCGGGTGGCAGCCAGTCGATGTGTCTCTCTCATATCGATGTTTCTCTCTCTCTCCCTTCCACTCTGTCTGAAGATAAATGTAAAAATATCCTCGGGTAAGGATTAAAACAAACAAATAAACAAACAAACCAAGATTATAATCTCTGATATACATCTATATCTAAATATCTATCTACACACACACACACACACACACACACGTGTACATAGTTTCTTTAGCAGCAATGGTTCAGTATTCACTAATTCAGCGTTTGTGGAAACTAAAGATATACCACCATAAATAACAAGAATCACCTGTATGTTGAATTTTCTGGGGTATATCAAGTTGAACAAACCAAGAAAAGCAGTAAGGATGTTAAAACTAAAAATAAAAAAAGGAGGCAAAAGAATCAGAAAGTCAGAATAAGGCAAGATTGGATTGAAAGCTGGGTAGCCCTCAGAAGCTGTTCTTACCAGGAGCAGCAGAAGAGAACTCGGCTGACGGTGATCTAGTCAAGGTCTCGAGGTCTGAAGCCTGACCGACAGTTTCCTGCAGATGAATCTCAGGATCTGTAGAGAGGGACAATGATGTCAGAGTGTTGTTCTGCCATTAGCATCGTTACTCACCGTGTTAGGCATTTAGTTCAGAGCCCTGCTGGCTTCACTGGTGGTCACTCCATGATTCTACCAGGTATACAAGGAATGGCAGAGGCACCTCTAAGCCTGCTTCTTAAAGTCCTCAACAAAGTATGTTTATAAAGGCACATGAGAACATAAAGTAGATGTTAGAATTTTACAAAATAAATTGAAAAATGTCCAGAGGGAAGTGAAAGACAATGCCCCTGGAGGGTAGAGAGTAAGAAAAAAGAGCTGGCCGGGAACATCAGCCCCAATTTACTTCATTTTCTTCATTCCTGAAGAGGCTGAGTCAGCTCACATACTGGTGATAGCTGATGAGACCCTGGGAATTCAGCATAACCTCTATACAGAATGATGGCACCTAAGAGCCCACTGCACCAAGGCCACACACAGACCACTCCCAGTATGTTCGTTTCCCAAACCATTACGTTATCAAGCACACGGTGGTTATCTACCACTTAAAAATTCTGGTCAGCTTGCTACTTCCTCCGAGACCAAAACTCTCCTACTCTCTTTCAATCTCCATAAACTCAAAATAATAAAAGAGGGGAAATTAAATCTAAGGATGTTGCATAGTACTTCCTCCTCCATGTGGAACCCCCATCCAGGGTGTTGACAGTTACCTGATCGTTTCTCCTTCAGAGGGTATGGGAAGTCCAGGGCTTTGCCCGCGTATCTGGAAAGCAGTGAGTCAACCTCGTCCATGGTGAAGCCGATTTCCTGCCCGGCTGGCAGCTGGTGCAGAGTCTGCACAGCCACAGTGGCCCAATCCACTTTCATGTTCATGAGCAGTTGCTCCAGCATGAGCAGGGGTTTAGAGGACAGGTGGGAATAGCTGGCCCGGTGCTGGTCAGGCAGGGTCAGCAGAACCTGTTTGTGGGGAACAGCCACAGAGTAAAGAAAACAGTACACAAACCTCAGAAAAAAGCCTAGATTCTTACTGGGAAGGGGAAGGGTGTTAGGGACCAAGGGTAGGTAGTTACTACTGAAATGGGCTTAGCAGTCTTTTTAGGAAGCAAGGCTGGACTCCTATCTAAATCCCCCAGGTGGCAATCAAGTACACTTCAGCACTGGCCAGTGTGGCTCAGTTGGTTGGTCCCATACACCAAAAGGTTGCAGGTTCGATTTCCGGTCAGACCACATACCCAGGCTATGGGTTCAATCCTAGGTCGAAGCAAGTACAGGAGCCAACCGATTGATGACTCTCTCTCTCTCAAATCAATAGAAAAAGTCTTAAAAAAAAAAAAAGTATGTTCCAAATACCTCATTTAGGATCTAGAGGAAAGGTCAGCAAACGTTACTGTAAAGGGTCAGATAGTAAATGCTTTGGGCTTTGTGGACCATAAAGCCTCTATTGCAATGAGTCAACTCTGCCAGGGCAGTGGGCAAACAGGCCTAGTAACTTGTAAGTGAACCCATGTATCTGTGTACCAATAAATCTTGATGTCAAAAGCAGGCTCAGGAGTGGGTTTAGCCTACAGGTGACTTGTAGGCATGGTTGAGTTCTATTCATTTGAGGCTTTCTTAGAATGAGTAACATAAGGCGATATCAGTGGATTGCCTAACCTGGCACTTCCAGTGTCCCACGGGAAATGATTACTCTAAACTTCCTTTTTTTTTTAATCCTTACCCGAGGATATTTTTACATTTATCTTCAGAGTGGGAAGAAGAGAGAGAGAAAGAGAAACATCGATGTGAGAGAGTCACATCAGTTGGTTGCCACCTGCATGACCCCAACCAGGGCTGGGAACAAACCACAACCAAGGTACGTGCCCTTGGCGCCCTTGGCCGGAACCGATCCTTGGACTCTTTGGTTGTTATCCCTAGGCTTGAAATATGTTCATTGGCTCTGCTCATTGCCAGTTTTCAAGGCATCCCCCATTTAGGTACAGTGCATAAAAAAAAAAAAGATGTATCATCTTTAAGAACATTTTATGTGGTTGAACTCTTTTTTTTTTTATCCTCACCTGAGAACATTTTTTTTCCCCATTTTTGTTCAGATAGAGTGGGAGGGAGAGAGAGGAAGAGAGAGAGAGAGAGAAACATCCACATGAATGGGACACATCGAGTGGCTGCCTCCTGCATGACCCCATCCAGGGCCCGGGACGAATTGCAACTGAAGTCCACTACTCATTGATCCGTGGGTCAACACTCTAACTGCTGAGCCAAACTGCCCAGGGCTGCAGTTGAACTCTTAGCAAGTGGGCCAGCGGTCATATTCATGGCTCTCCCAGCACACATTCCATTTGTGGGCAGTATGTCTAACTGCCAATCAGAATTATTAGAAGAATGTCAGAGGGTCCCATCTCTCCCCAAACATTCCTTCACTGGATTACTTTTTCTAGTTTATAATAATTGTTTTTCTATTACTTCATCATATTACCTAGACAATTAACCCTCTATCAATCAGAATCCCTTTGGAAGAGAGCCAGGCCTTGTCGCAAGAGATTCAGTTTTCTTTTTTTTTTAAAATTCTCATCCGAGAACATTTTTGCATTTCTCTTCAGATAGAGCGGGAGGGGGAGAGAGAAGAAGAGAGAGAGAGGAAGAGAGAGAGAGAGAGAAACATCGATGTGACAGAGACACATCAACTGGTTGCCACCCACATGACCCCAACTGGGGCCGGGGACAAACTGCAACTGAGGTATGTGCCCTTAGCAGAAACCGAACCTGGGATTCTCTGGTCTGCAGGCCAACACTCTAACCGCTGAGCCAAACCAGCCAGGGCGAGATTCAGTTTTAATTGATCTGGGGGTGGAGGTCAACTACTGGTATTTTTAAAAAGTCCAGGTGATTCTAACACATGGTCAGAATTGATACAGCCGATGCCAGAGAAAGCATAAAGAGAACCTAAGAGGACCAGGTAAAATTCACTTTGGAGGTGGGGTAGTAAGAGAATGACAGGTCCTAAGGGACTCAGCTAGGACATGGTAGACGGCTAAGGTAAAGATTTTATATAGCACAGGCCAAAGATGGGAGGTACCTGGTAGAAGAGCCATTGACAGAGCAAATTCTGCAGCAGGGGCTGGGCCAGCAGTCTCTCCCTCAGGTGTGCTCTCCTAATACCCGCTTTTCCTCCTTACCTTGGATCCCATGTACAGTGCCTGGATTTCACGGTGTCGAACAGCAGTCAGTTTTCCATAGAAGTGGGTGGTGAGGTAGTTGGCCAAGAAGTGAGAAGTGGCCAAGCTAGGGTGCTGGTCGAGGGATTGCTCTGTGACCTCAAGGCACGTGGAGGGGTCGGGAATCCTTCGCAGAAGCTATTTCGGGGGAAGAGGAGAGGAGAAAGGTGAAGCCTGTAGAACAGTCGTTCTCAACCTGTGGGTCGCCTAAGACCACCGGAAAACATATTTCTGATGGTCTTAGGAACCGAGACACCGCTCCTCTATCCATCTCCAGGCGGGTCCGCCCACATGCAGATACGCCCACATACAACGTGAGGAACTGTATTAAAGGTCATGGCATTGGGAAGGTTGAGAACCACTATTAGAACTTAGGCCAGCCTTGTTTTGTTTGAGAACAAAACATTTATTCATTCTGGACTAACCCCTTCTCTGTGCTCATTTTTCTCATCGCCCCCATAGCTTCACAAATGATGGCTTTGACAGGACCAGAGTTCAGCAGAATCCTGGACCCCGCTGCCCCTCTGGTACCTAATGTATGGCTAGGCATCTCTGCTCAAGCTGCAGACTATAACCAGCTCCTGCAGGACAAGAAGGGGCAGATCTGAGGTTGCAAATGCTTGCATAGAATTAAGCAGGAGCAAAGCCATCTGATTTGACTAACCTTCCTGACCCCAGTGCCCCACCAAAAGGGGAAAAGTTGGAGGCTTACTTGCAGAGCCTTTTCATGATCTCCTCTTTCTAGAAGGTAAAGAAGATGCTTTTGATGTAGGCTGATTAAATGTTCCCTTGGAATGGGGTATAGGCAGCCCCACTCCTCACACAGTGCATACTCCTGAAAGGAAACACACACACACCTTCAATCCCTTTAAATGCCAGATTTTTCCCCGCGATTGTGAGTCTGCTAAAATCCCAGAAAGTTTGATAAGTGCTGATGGGAATTTCACTACAGGATTAAAGGAGGATCATAAATTCAAAGGTAAGTTATGAAACTGATAGAAGCAGCCTGGTGTGGCTCAGTGGTTGAGCATCAACCCACACACCAAGAGGTCACTGGTTCGATTCCCAGTTAGGGCACATGACCAGGTTGTGGGCCAAAGCTTAATCATCTTTGTTTCACCACCATCTAGCACAGTGCCAAGCAAATAGTAGGTATTTCATAAATGTTTCCTGGGTGACTGAACATCTGAATGAGCATATCTACATTTTGAACTATAGTCGTCCCTCTTTAATCTCGGCTAATCAGTTCCAGACTCTAGTTGTTGTACCTGGTATTGAAGGATTCCTGGGGTGCTCGAATATATAGGCCTACAGTCCATACATACACTAATCTTTTTTCTTTTTAAAAAATCTTTATTATTGAATGTATTACAGATGTTCCTCATTTTTCCCCCATTAATCCCCCTCTTTCCCTCTCCCGCCCCCCTCCCACCTTTTCCCACACTATTGTCTGTGTCCATTGGTTAAGCATATAAGTTCTTTGGTTTATTTCTTCCCACCCCCCAATCCCTTTCCCTTTGAGGTTTGTCAGTCTAGCAATGAATTTGTACTTCTTAATACCTTCACCTTTTTCACCCATTCCCCCAACACCCCTCCCATCTGGCAACCAACAAAATGTTCTCTGTATCTATGAGAATGTTTCTGTTCTGCCTGTTCATTTTGTTTGTAGATTCCATTGTCGATAGATATGTATTCATTGCCATTATGTTTGTTTATATATTTTATCTTTTTCTTCAAAAAGACCCTTCATCATTTCACATAATAATGGTTTGGTGGTGACGAACTCCTTTAACTTTTTCTTGTCTGGGAAACTCTTTATATGGCCATCAATTCTAAATGACAGCTTTGCAGGATAGAGTAATCTTGGTTGTAGGTTCTTGCTTTTCATCACTCTGAATATTTCTTGCCACTCCCTTCTGGCCTGCACAGTTTCTTTTGAGAAATCAGCTGACAGCCTTATGGGAACTCTCTTGTAGGTAACTAGCTGCTTTTCTCTTGCTGCTTTTAAGATTCTCTCTTTGTCTTGAAACTTTTGCATTTTGATGATGATGTGTCTTGGTGTGGGCCTCTTGAGGTTCATCTTGTTTGGGACTCTCTGTGCTTCCTGGACTTGTATGTCTGTTTCTTTCACCAAGTTAGGAAAGTTTTCTGCCATTATCGTTTCAAACAGGTTTTCAATTTCTTGTTCTCTCTCTTCTCCTTCTGGCACTCCCAAGATGCGAATGTTGGCACGCTTGAAGTTGTCCCAGAGGCTCCTTACACTCTCCTCATTTTTTTGGATTCTTTTTTCTTTTTGCTGTTCTGATTGGGTGTTTTTGCTTCCTTAGATTCCAAATCGATGGTTTGCTTCTTGGCTTTACGTACTCTACTATTGAATCTGTATAAATTATTCTTTATTTCAGTTAGTGCCTCCTTCATTTCTGATTGTGCATCCATGATTTCTGACTGGTTCTTTTTTATGCTCTTGAGGCCCTCACTAAGTTCACTGAGGTTCTCACTGAGTTCATTGAGCATCCTTATAAGCAGTATTTTGAACTAAGCATCTGTTAGGTTGCTTATCTCCATTTCACTTAGTTCTTTTCTTGGGGTTTTGTTCTGTTCTTTCATTTGGGACCTGTTTCTTTGTCTCCTCATTTAGGCTGTCTCCCTGTGTTTGTTTCCGTGTATTACTTAATGAGAGATATGGGGCTAGCTGAGACCAGATGCTGCTTGTTTGAAAGAATTTAGGAAAACCTGAAGCAGGATCCAAGACAGGCCAATCCTATGGTGAAGCAACTGGCAACAGCTTGGGTGGGCCTGAAAGTTGGGTGGGTCGGAGCCTCAGGGATTCACCAGGGCGGGGCTACCAGTGTGAGGCAGGTTGCTGGAGTCTCAGATATGGCGGCTGTCTGCAGCCTCAGGGAAGGGCTCACCAAAGGAACTAAGGCCTTTGACAGCATGTTTGTCCGGGAGAAAGCCCTCTCTTCAGCCCTCACTCCAATGCCAAACAGCTCAGTTCTTCCCTGTGTGTCTCTGGTGCCCCTCGAGCTGCATACCCTCCAAGCTTAGAGGGAGTGAGTCCGGTAAGTCTCTGTGCAGGCCCTTTAAGGAGCTGCCTGGGGCTCCAACTGCGTCAGCTTCCCTGAGCCTCAGTTCCCGCTGGTTTTTCCAACCAGAAGTTATGGGGATTCTCTTCCTGGCACTGGAACCCTGAGCGGGGCGCCTGGTGTGGGACGGGGACCCCTCAGTCCTCAGGGAGGACCTTCCCAGCCGAGGTGTCCTCCTGATTTGTATCCGCCACAAGTGGGTGTGGGACCAGCCCCTCCACCTTCGCCCCTCCTACCAGTCTCAATGTGGCTGCTGCTTTAATTTCCTAGTTATAGGACTTCCCTTCGGCTTGATGTCAGGCGGTTTTGAATGATGGTTGTTCTGTAGTTTAGTTGTAACTTTGATGTGGTTGTGGGAGGACGCGATACTGTGTTTACCTACGCCGCCATCTTCACGTATAGTAATCTTAATTTTAATTGTAATACAGGGGTGTATAATAGACTAAGACAACCGAGCACGTGCTGTATTATTTTCACTGTCTTGATCTACTTTTTAATGAATATATTTGAAAATACTGAGATAGAGTGAACCTGCGAAAGTCGAAGCGCGAAGTGGCGAGAGATGACTATATGGCATTTCAGCTCCTTAAAAGGTAGATAAATTCTATATAGCACTCAAATGTCTAATAAACACATGAAACATATTCTAGGTCATAGATAATCATGGAACTATAAATTAAAACAACAAGATACCATTCTATTGGCAGAAAGTGAAAAGTTGAAAGAGGATATGGAGCAATAGGAACTGAGTGTGAGTATAGTTGGGGCGACTGATTTGAAGAGCAGTTGGCATCACCTTAGTGCAGGTGAGAGCTCATGCCCAAAGACACAGCAATTCCACTGCTGCATGTACATCTGTACCCAGTACATACAGTGTGGAAAATCTCTTGTATGAACACAAGGTGATAGTACAAAAGCATCAACTGTTAACTATTTCTATACTTCTCTGTATATTAATAAATTCACACACAAACACAAAAGAAAAAAGAATGTGATGTAGTTACAAAGAATGTGGGCACTGGTAAGGGGGGAGAGGGTTTACACAACTAGTTCTAACTCTGAAAAGAGGAAGGAGGGGAATACCACCCAGGAAAATGGTACCTTTGCTTCTAGAATCTTGCTCATGACAGTTGATGGGTCCTCAATACAACAGTTCCTCAGAGTCTGCCAATCACACCACACGGGGGCAGCCTGCAAACCTAGGATCTACAGAAAGACAGGACAAGCTGTCAAACCAAAATGCAGCTTCTTCCTCCATGAACGAGGCATTGGAGTCTCCAGGGATGAGCCATCCCTAGGTCTCTGTCCCAAAGTCAGAATGTCATAACTTTCCGGGAGAGAGGAGGAATTGGAGCGAATGGGGCCAAGATTGTTTAGAGGACAGGGAAGCATAATCAGGGAGCAAAGACTAAGTGGAGAGGGCAGGATTGGGGTCTTTCACTTGTGAGGACAATTCTCAGAGGTTTCTCAGAACTTAAAGCTTGTTCACCCTTCTGGCTTCATCTGTCCCATACTCCTCCATCTCAAAACTCTAGTCAAGATATTCTGCTGGCTTGAATGCTCTGTGGGATCACCTTTCATGTAGCGTTTAGCTCTGCATGGAAACTGCTGAGCAAGAGTGGAAAGAAAATCTTTCTCATCTGCCATTTTCACCTGCCTTTTGCTGGAGGGGCTCTGGATTCTGCTCAATTCCAAGTACACATGGAAAATTAGCACATATGTTATGCTTGTTATCACCTAATCTGTCTCCCTGAGCCTCTTGATCTTGAATGTAACACATATCCTGCAAGAATCTTTCACTTTTGAAATTGTCATTTTCTTTTTTCTTTAAAATTAATTAATTTATTTATTTTTATCCTCACCCGAGGACATTTTTTGATATTTTGTTCAGATAGAGTGGGACGGAGAGAGAGAGAGAAACAGCGATGTGAAAGGGACACATCGAGTGGTTGCCACCCACACGACCCAATCAGGGCCGGGGACAAACTGCAACCGAGGTACATGCCCTCAGCGGGAACCGAACCCGGGTTTCTCTGGACCGCAGGCCAATGCTCTAACTGCTGAGCCAAACTGGCCAGGGTGAAATTGTCATTTTCATGCATCTTTTCAAAACAGCTCTCGAAATTTAGCTAAGATTTAAAACAATCTTTAAAAAAGACATATTATGAGATAAGCTCTATAAAAACTCTTGAAGGCCCAGCTGGTGTAGCTCAGTGGATTGAGTGTTGTCCCATGGACTGAGAAGTCCAAGTTAGATTCCAGGTCAGGGCACATGATCTGGATAATGGGCTCGATCCCCGATAGGGGGCGTTTAGGAGGTAGCTGATAGATGTTTCTCACTTCGATGTTTCTATCTCTCTCTCTCCAAAATAAATAAATAAATAAATAAATAAATAAATAAATAAATAAATAAATAAAATAAAATAAAAACTCTTTAAGAATAACAACAACAAAAAACCAGTGGACATAAAACATACACAAAGCTCAAATATACAGGGTGGGGCAAAAGTAGGCTATAGGTGTATGGAAAATAATACAATAATTAATAAGTAATAATACAAGAATAAAGCCTGTGCTTTGTGTACTTACAACTTTAATCCGCTTTTGGACTCTAAAGCATCATCCAGTGTTATTTTTTTATCTTTGTTTGATGCATATATATTTAAAATTATAAGGGTAAAAAATGAAAGAGGAACTAGCCAGGAGGCTTCCTTGAAGTTCACCTAAGAATAGAAGCCAGGTGCAAAGCAAAAGCCAGGTCTAGATTTTCCGTTTCCTAAAATCCACCATCACATAAGAATAGACTAGCTTGAGTTGGTAACAGGGAGAGAAGTCCATTTCTTCTCTTGATGTCAGGGTCCATACCTTCTGATACACCTGCAGCTCCGCCAACTTTCTCTGTAGTTCACACCTCAGTTCATCTTGGACAGCTGTGTCTGAAATGCAGTAGGCCAGGATCTCCAGGCACGACTCCAGGGGCCACCTATCCACAAACTTTAGGGTCAGCCGACTTCTCAGAGATGCATCCTTCACAGGAAACAGGTACTGCCAACCTTCTCCGTCTGCAGAACAAAAGGATGCCCAGAGGCAGCAAGCCTGGCACTGGAAGAGCTCCAGAGTCCAGGTTACTTCTTAAGGGAAGGGCTTAGTTCAGTTTCATGAAACAGGAGCTTGGAGGATCCTTAAAATCATCTGACCTTAACTAGTTTTTACACTTGGAACCACTACTATATGGCAAGAAGAAGTGTTATACCCCTATGTTTGTCTTTATGAAAACATAATCAGAGTCATGAGACTTTTTGAAGAGAGAGGAAGAGAAGGAGAAAAGAGAGGAAGAAATAGGAAGGAAGAGAGAAGGAAGGAAGGGAGAAAAGACAGAAGAGATGAAACTCTTCATGTTCTGACTCAGGGAATGTTTCAGACTCAGTGAGTCCGTGAACTTTTAGTTTTCCCTACAATTTCTACTCTGTGCCATATATAACTACTTGAAAGTTATCTCAGGTAAACTAGTTTCACTCCCTCAGCATCCTCTATCATTATTGGTAGATCTCTCTCCCACAACCCATCTCAGAGTTGACAAACAGACTCCAAGCAGAGAAGACTGCATCACCAGTCAGGCAGTGGATTTCTTCCCCCTTCTCAAGGAATAATTTTCTCTTTCCCACAGGGAGCCAGGCCCCTCTACCCAGAAACCTTTCACGACAGTAGGCCCAATATTGCTCTCCTAGTGGAGTGTGGTGGGTCATTAGCTCTCAATTCTGGTCACACATTAAAATATCCTGGGGAGATTTCAATTTTTTAAAATTGATTTTTAGAGAGAGAGGAAGGGAGAAGGAGAGAGAGACAGAAACATCGATGAGCGAGAGCATCAATTGGTCCCCTCCTGCATGCGCCCACTGGGGATTTGGCCCACAACCTGGGCATGTGCCCTGACCAGGAATCAAACAGGTGACCTCTTGGTGCAAGAGCTGACATTCAACTACTGAGCCACACCAGCTGGGCTCCTGGGGAGCTTTTAAAGTAGGGGTTATCAAACAGATCCCCAGTGTTTTTATAAATAGTTTTATTAAAATATAGACATGCTTGCCCTGGCTGGTGTGGCTCATTTGGTTGGGCATTGTTCCATGCACTGAGAGGTCACCAGTTCCATTCTGCTCAGGGCACATACCCAGATTGTGGGCTTGATTCCCAGGCGGGGGCTTGCAGGAAGCAGCTGATTGATCAGCTGTTTCTCTCTCTCTCTCCCTCTCCCTTCCTTTCTCTAAAATCAATAAGAACACAGACATAGACACACACACACACACACCCTCTATAGCTGCTTTCATGCTACAGTAGAAGAGTTGAGTAGTTTCAATTGAGACTCTATAGCCTACAAAGCCCTCAAAAGAAAGAATTTTCTGACCCCCGTTTTAAAGTAAACATTTACCTAACTTCCATCTGGGGCTTCTGGGGATGGAGCTCAGATACTTGTGGTTTATAGAATTTTCCAATGATTCTGATACGCAGGGCTGAGAATATTGGTTATGGATATATGTTCTAAAGTTAGACAGACCTAGGTTTTAAGCACTGCTCCACGATTTACTATCCTGGGCAAGTTTCCTACCTTTTGGTGCCACCTTCCTCTAGAGCAGTGGTTCTCAACCTTCCTGATACTGCGACCCTTTAATACAGTTCCTCATGTTGTGGTTACCCCCAACCATAAAATTATTTTCGTTGCTACTTCATAACTGTAATTTTGCTACTGTTATGTCTTAGGCGACCCCTGTGAAAGGGTCGTTCGACCTCCAAAGGGGTCGTGACCCACAGGTTGAGAACCGCTGCTCTAGAGTTATTGTGAGGATCAAAGGTGATGACACACTCGGTGAATGCTAAATGTTATTCCCACTAGTGAAGGAGGGAGGCGTAGTTTTCTGCTCACCACATGCTGCAGCACAGCTCAGGACCGCATCCTGTATGCTGCTTAAGGCATCCACGTCTCGCCCGTACACTTCAGTGAGCTGAAGGGCCCGGGGCCAATCTCTGGCCACCAGGGCTTCCTCGAAGGCGTCTGTGAGCACGTCCAGGGCAACAGGAGAATGCAGGCCCAGGAGGACAGTAGAGACACTAGCCTGGCCACAGAGGCTTGCTGCCAGACTCTGCTCCTGCTTGGAGGACCCTCGGAGGGGCTCCCAGGCAGCCAGGAGGGAAGCCTCAAGCATAGGGAAGTGTTCCAGAAGGCGCTCACACTCCCGGGCTACCTGCTCTGTGGTCAGAGGTACCTCCCTGCGGCCACGAAGCTCCTTCCATGACAAGCTGGGCTTGGTGACCTTTGATCCCCGAGAAGCCCCCAGACAGGCTACTGTAGCCAGCAGCTTTGAGCGGGATTTAAGGAAGGCCAAGGTAGAGGCGGTGAGGGCTGAGAGTGATGAATCTTTTGGGGAGGAGTTGGGCTTTTTCTCTGATGTGTGGTTCTCAGTTGTCTTTGGGGAGCTCTGCATAGAAAGTGGGGGGTCCTCCAGGCAGCGGGCGGTGTACAGTTGGGCCAGGACGCCCAGGTGGGTCAGGAGAGATGACGTCTGCTGGCTCTGCAGGGAAGAGGAAAGGGCAAGGGGCTCACAGCAGCAGCTGACAATGACCTGAGGCACACTGAGACCGAGGCCCTCACGGGCCAGGAGGGCTGCCAGCCTGGAGGGAGAGAAGCAGAGGGAATGCAGAGCCTCAGTGCACAGCCACCATCGCTGAACCTCAGTCTTCCTTTATGACAGTGCTTCTCAACCTGTGGGTCGCGACCCTTTGGGGGGTCAAATGACCCTTTCACAGGGGTCGCCTAAGACCATCGAAAAACACATATTTCCGATGGTCTTAGGAACAGAGACACCGCTCCTCTATCCGTCTGCAGGCGGGTCCGCCCACGTGCAGATACGCCCATATACAACCTGAGGAACTGTATTAAAGGGTGGTGGCATTAGGAAGGTTGAGAACCACTGCTTTATGATCACCCAGCAAATGTACATGTGGGCTCTTTAACTGTCCCTCTCTCTTTTTAAACACAAAATGTAGCCTATTAACATATTGCTCTGTCCTTATTCATTTATTTTTACTTAATAATGTATCTTGGAGTGCTATCTGTTCATATCTCTCTATAGAGAGGTCTCTCATTTCTTTTTACTGTACATAGTTTTCAATTATGGGGATGAAGCATAATTTAACTAGTCTCCTGTTAGTGGACAATGGATTTTTCTGATCTGTTGCTGTTACATATAAGGCTTAATAAAATGATGTATATACATCATTTTCCATATGCATAATAAAGCCACAGGATAAATTCTCAACATGAACTTCTAGGTCAAAGGATAAATACATTTGTAATTTTAGTATATATAGACAAACTGCCTTCCCACAGGGGCGTGTACCCCTTCATATCCCACCAGTAATCTATGAGAATGCTTGTGTTTCTATAGCCTAGCCAACTAATGTGTTATCTAATTTTTGGATGTTTGCCTATTCCTAAATGAAGATTCTCCCCTTAGTTTTATATTTGCAATGTGACTCTTAGTGGTGGCAGAGAGAGAAAGGAGGCACACTGAATTTGAAGGTAGCTGTATAAGAGTAAATGTAAATCAAGGGCAAAGTCTAGAAGGAACCCCACTCCCTATACTGAACCCGAGCATATCCCCACGGCACCCTCGGGCTCCTTGATGAAACAGTTAGGAAGGCTCATGTGTGATTCCCACAGGGTAGCTCCTACCTGTCAGGTGGGACTTGTCGCTCAAGCAGGAGGTGTGACACCAGTTGGGAAGAGCTCTGGTGCAGGAGAACAAAGGGATTTCCTACTCTGATCTCCACGTGATCTGCAAAGGTAAAGAAAGTGACCTTTGTACCACAGAGAGCAACAGTTCAGAGCCCTGTATTGCAGAACAAATAAAAAAAGTGGTGTCAAGACGAAGTCTACAATGCAAGCCCTTCTGTTGACATTTTTTAGGTAAAGGATATTCTCAACATGACCCTGACCACAAGTTGTCTGTGCCTTCCAATGGCTCTAGAGACTCCAACCACAGAAAACTTCGGTGGGCGGGTCTGGCCGCAAACAGCTCACCCTGCGCAGCTAACACGACCCAGGTGCATGGAGTGCTTGCTCTGTGGACTCCTATCAGAGACTCAGTTCCCTGCTGGTCCTCATGCCCACAATGGACTGAAGGTCTGAGAGGTATTTCTGAGTCATTAACACCATCAGAATTTATTGAGCATGCCCATGTGCTGTACAATTGTACTAGGTATTGGGGAGCCAAAGACGAATAAAATGCAGAAGAATAAGGAAAGACCTTAAAATCTAGAGTCCCTGGCTACTGCTGTGCCCAGAAGCTCTTAACTGGGTATCTTTCCTCTTCCTTGCTCTAAACACTTGCAGACTGGTCATAACTCTGTTTCCTTTTTCTTCCTGCTTACCAGTCTCAGAGCGCAAACTCTGAAGAAGCACTGCAGCCAGGGTGCTGCAGTAACTGGAGAAGGTGCCCAGGTAGTCGGTCTGCCTGCTGCCCGCTGGGGTCTGTTTGCCCAGGTTCTTCCGGAGGAGCTGAGTCTGGATGTGCACAGGGTGGGCCTCTATCTCTGGAGCTTTCTGGGCCGCTTGCTCCACCAGGGAGGAGAGTGGAGTGCTCCTGGGCTCTGAGAGGAGTAATGGCAGAAAGGATGTAGGCTTTATTCTGTGCATCCAGCTTTGGGTCAATTTCCAACATGATTATGTGAACTGGGCCTCTGTACACTGCGTGGGGCCTCCCACAGCTTGGGTGCTACACTTACAAGGCAGCTACAAAATCCCAAGTTGGCCGCATGTACAAATGATTTCCAGCCAGGAAGAGCTTTGAGTCTGGAGAAATCGGGGTGGATGGTTCTGTTTTCACCCCAGTGTCTTGGTGGTTGGAATGGCTTTATGAAGAGCACATCAATCTTTTGGGGAAGGGTTGATCAATATTTACTAACTTCGGGGTGTATTGCTCATTAGGAATAAGAGAGATGTATCAGGTAATGGAGTGTTAACCATCTCTTCACTTGAGAGGCAGGGGAATAGGTGGAGAGGGCTAGTAGGGCTCTTTGCTGAAGTCCTAAGCCTCTGCTCCAAAGTGTTTCCTCTCCCTAGGGCAGTCCTCATCTGCTCCCATACTGGGGCGGGTACCTGGCAGCTCTAGCGCCTCTCTCAGCGACTGAAGGGTCTGGTCCAGCTGCTGGGAGAGGGTGGCGTGGCTGGCAGCACAGTCCTCTGTCAGGCTGGGCCAGCACATCTGGAGCAGCTCAGCAATGCTGCACCGGGGAGGAACTCCTCCTTTCTCTTCTACACTCTCTGCAGAAAGCAAATGAGGAAGAAAAAGGGAAGTCTGATGCTGACCTAATGTTCTGAGTCTAGGAGAAAAAAAAGGGGGAAAGCAACTCACCCGACTTAGTTGGTCCAGTTGACATAAGTGAATAATTGAGAATCTTACTGATTTGCTGAAGAACGACCGGAAAACCTCGAATGCCATCGGCACTGAGGAGGATGTGGTCCAGCCGTCGACCTGAGAGCAGATGAAGGAAGAGAGAATACAGAAAAAATAAGGTACTTTCAGAGACTGGGACTCAGTCCTGCATTCGGCTGTACAGTTTTATCTTCTCCAATATTAAGGAGGAAATATACCCTGTGCCATTTTGGGCGACAACCAGCATATCTGGCTTTTCTGTGCCTGAGGTTCCAGGGCTGCCTCCTGCAAGGTGCCACCGCTGTCAGCAGGGCGGGTGGGGGGTGGTGGTGGTGGTGTGTATATGCAAGAATCTGGCCCTCCAGTGGGAAGCACTGTCCCAGCCAATCAGGCACTTCTTGTGGATTTGCCTTGGTATTGCCCTCAGCTGAGGACTTGACCCCAGACCATATCTGTCTTCTCTAACTGCTTTGAGTAGGCTCTTGACATCCCGACTAGACTATGAACAACTTTATGAACAGAGATGACTCCTTATACCTGTACTGTACCCCCAGATACTTGGGATAATCTAGAGACACAATAGGTACTAAATTAACTTCTAATTGACTAACCTGAAACCATTTCAGCTACTAATAGTTTGAATAATATCTCCTTTCATTTTAGAATATAAGTGCTAGATGAGGAAGAGGGGAATTGTTCCCCCCAAAAGAACTGCGTGTGCCACAGTATACTTTCGTAGGAGGACTAGGTGAACACTGAAGGACATTCCACCAGCCGCTCAGAAGCGATCTGGAGATGTGTGCAGAGAAGAGTTAGCACAGCAGGCCGGAGACTTCTATCCTTACGAAGGCCTGCTTGCAAGGTTGCCCTTGGCCAGCATCTGTGAACTTGACAAGCCAATGGTTTCCTATACTGACATGAAACGTTCCCTAAATGATGAGAATGCACCAAGTTTTCCCTTATACCTGATTTACAAACTCAAGACTACCCCCAGATTATAGGATATGGGGGTTCACTCAGGAGGGGGAATGGGGGAATGCTGTCTAAAGACACAAATTCCATTTATAGCATTTTTGAATATTTACTTATTCCTTGACTTTATCCATAAATCAGAAAGAATTTCCCCAACCCACTACAGATTGCTATGTGTAGTAAGAAGGGAAGGCTTTCAACAGACTGTATTTATGCCTGTAGCCTGGACATGAGGAAATTATCTAACCTGTTTTCCCTGTCCCTCCTTCCCCAGTAAGTACTTTCTTTTTGCATATTTTCTCAAGTATCTCCGAAATCCGTCTGAAAAGGAATGAAGCCAAAGAAGCACACTCACCCCGGCTCTCAAGGCTACTGTTCAGACGTCGCTCGGCTGTTTCCAAGAGCTGCTTGCTGGTTTTCCAGAGCTGGCACTGAGAGCAAGCAAGGTCAAAGGCAGCCATGGCGGGGGGGCTGAGGTCTTCCAGAAGCTCCCTCAGGGGGTCAGTGGGCTCCACCAGGGCACTGCTTAGCCAAAAGTCCTCCTGGAGTGTAGGGATGGGATCTCCAGAGGGGTTGAGCAGCTTGTCGGTCACGTCAGAGATGGAGTAAAATACCATCCCTGGACACCCAGCAGTGGAGTAAAAGTAAAGGTTAAAATAATTCTATATACCACTTTAATTTTGAAAAGTAGTTATTTAAAAAGTGTTCGAGGTCCTTCTCCACAGGATATCGTCTGTGCCTATGAGCACCCACTGCAGCCCACTGTAATGGCATCGTCCGTGCCTGTGAGAACCCACTGCAGCCCATTCTAATGGCATCGTCTGTGCATATGAGTACCCACTGCAGCCCATTCTAATGGTATTGTCTGTGCATATGTGTAGCCACTGCAGCCCATTCTAATGGCATCGTCTGTGCCTGTGAGAACCCACTGCAGCCCATTCTAATGGTATTGTCTGTGCATATGTGTAGCCACTGCAGCCCATTCTAATGGCATCGTCTGTGCCTGTGAGAACCCACTGCAGCCCATTCTAATGGCATCGTCTGTGCCTGTGAGAACCCACTGCAGCCCATTCTAATGGCATTGTCTGTGCATGTGTATCCACTGCAGCCCATTCTAATGGCATTGTCTGTGCATATGAGTACCCACTGCAGCCCATTCTAATGGCATTGTCTGTGCATGTGTAGCCACTGCAGCCCATTCTAATGGCATTGTCTGTGCATATGAGTACCCACTGCAGCCCATTCTAATGGCATCGTCTGTGCCTGTGAGAACCCACTGCAGCCCATTCTAATGGCATCGTCTGTGCCTGTGAGAACCCACTGCAGCCCATTCTAATGGCATTGTCTTTGCATACGTGTATCCACTGCAGTCCATTCTAATGGCATTGTCTGTGCATATGAGTACCCACTGCAGCCCATTCTAATGGCATCGTCTGTGCCTGTGAGAACCCACTGCAGCCCATTCTAATGGCATTGTCTGTGCATATGAGTACCCACTGCAGCCCACTGTAATGGCATCAAGGCAACGGCATGGAAAGGAAGACCAAGAGAAACTCATAATGAGTGTGATGAGTGAGGGTTTCTTCCAAATGGGATCTAAAGGGAGGCTGAGAAAGAATGAGGTGGATCTGTGTGCTAATCAGAAAAGATCTCTGAAATTCACTGTGAAAAGAACAAGGTAGAAAACAGCACTTGTTGTAAGAGCCCCTTTATATCAAAAGCAAAAAGGAAGTGCATATATTTTTGAATAGCTATCAGAAATTGCTGGGAGAATAGAGAAGGAGCAACGTGTGATGCTACTTGATACGTGCAGCCTAGACCTGTACGATAATGTGAAAAACGAAACAAGAATCCACTTTTAAGAAAGCACATGGGTGTGAATTTATGGCAGCCTGTGCCCTGAGGTCTCTCATGGGGCCCTAGGCCAGAGCAGACTGTGGCCCCGAACTGCTGCCGTAGGCTGGCTGCAGGCACAGAAGTGGGTTGCACAGTGGGGGAAAAACAGAGGAATAATGAAAGGATCAGTTTTTGCAGCGTAGCCAAGGCTGAGAATTGACACCTGTGAATCGCAGGCCATAGGAGTTATACACAACTTTTTCACTTTATGGTAAAGTAAAATAATACACTTAATCCCTAGATATTGACATGGAAGGAAATAAACTCCTAATCATTTCCCAAAGCCCAAGATAGCGGCCATGAAAACACATGGTGAAAACAGCATTCACACCTTTCAGCTTTAGTCACACAGGCCAAGCTTAATGAGTCGCTCGAGTGGCAGGTATGTGACCACCACAGTCAGGGAAACGGGTCGCAGTTACAAACTGACTCTCAATATGGCAGGGCTACCATTCCTCAAGGCAAGTGTCCTGCTCTGGATTTCTGCTCACCATCCTGAGGAGCTTATCATTTGGGTGGCTTTCCCCCTGAGACCCTCCTTCCCCAGCTACCACCTGACCACTTGTGGTGGCAACAAGGAAGCCTGACCTGCCGCTGCCGCGCTGCCAATGGCCTGCAGAGTTGAGCGGCCACTGCCTGTTCTTCGAATGGTGCTGCTGCCCGCATCTGAGTTCTGGTTCTCAATCTTGTGCTCGACTCGGGCCAGCTCCTGGATCACCTCCTGGTAGCGCTCCACGAACATCAGTTCTCCTGCGCTGGGTGAGGACTTCAGGTCGAACATGAACACCACCTGGTATAAGACAGGGAGGAGTGTGGGCTGTGGTGGGCCCACTGAGTTGGGGAATATCTGGAGATACAGGATCTTGCCCATCATTAGACCATAGCCCTAAAACATCTGCTCTGCAAGGGGGGAAGAGCACTGCATGTCAGAAGGGTAGATCACATACAGAAGTGACTTACCCAAGCCGGCGAAGCCACCAAAGCCCCAGCAGAAAATGGGCAGATGTGAACAATTTCAAAGAGCAGAGGCATATGACTAATACACAGATGAAAAATATAATCCTTTTCAGTAATCCAGGGAATTTAAGTCATATTAATACCATTTTGCATCTGTCACAATGACAAAGTGTAAAAATAAATCCTCAAGGGGGGTGGGTAAAATGAACTGTCACAACCTTTTTTGAAAAGCAATTTGGCAATCCATAAAGCTTTAAAAACGTTTATATTCTTTGACTCAGTAATTTTCATGTGAAACTTTCTTAAGGAAGTAATTCAAAAGGCTTAATGCCTAAAGGTGATAATCTTGGTACTATTTATTGTAATTATTACAAGGTTGAAAATAATTTAGATGTTGAGTAGCAGGAGAAGGGTCAAATGTAGCTACTTGATCAGACTGTTGTAAGGTCATTAAATCAGTTACAAGGCATTATATAAAGTTTTAAATTCAAAATAATCTTGGCTACTTAAAGTCATATATATCTTGAAAAAATAATGGCTAAAAATATACTTTACCTTTAATGTTGGTTTTGGACAATAGGGTTACAAGTAATATTATTTTCTAATTAATACTTTTGGTATTTACTTATAATACGCATGGCTTATACTATAACCAGGTTATAAAAATAAAGCTTTTGTTTAAAAAAAAAGATAAAAGATCAAGGGCCCATGAAAGAAAGTGGAAGCGAGGTCATTTGGGGGTAAAGCATCACATTTGCTGTAAGAAAGGCGGGTGAGGGTCCTATCCTCCCTCGATGGTCAGAATTATCATTATCATTAAAGTATGGGACCTAAAATGACCAGAGAAGGCTAGGCAAAGATTCTCCTATCACCTAGATTTCTGCTCGATTTATCTCTCAACAACTGAACTCACACGAAAGAAAAATTCTGACCTACACGTCAGAGCACGGTGTGATAAATATACCAACAGAGTTTCAAAAATTAGAATGGTAGGTTTTATGCTATTAAATTTATTTATTATTATTATTATTATTTTTAAATCCTCACCCAAGATATTTTTCTCTTTATCATCAGATAGAGTGGGAGAGAGGGAGAGAAAGAAACATTGATGTGAGAGAGACATCAACTGGCTGCCTCCCACATGACCCTGACCAGGGCCAGAAACAAATAGCAGCCAAGGTACGTGCCCTTGACCAGAATTGAACCTGCGACTCATTGGTCTGAGGGCCGATGTTCTACCGCTGAGCCAAATTGGCCTGGGTTATACTATTAAATTTAAACGATAGCAGAGGATTCTTATATTTCTCACAGCTTGTACAGAATCCTCTTAACATCCCCATGAGGACAAGCAGGTATTATATTTAACTTCAGTTTCCAAATGAGGATATAGAAGCTCAGAGAGAGTATGTCTTTCTGATTTCTTCTTGCACTTTCCCTAGACAACATGAACATTTTAGACTGGTAGCCCCTATACTTGTATATTGAACTGGCATTCTGTTTCTTATTAAACATGGTCTGCATCATGATTTTTTACTATGTAAAAACATGTATGTGTTCAGAGAAGCCTTAGAAGGAAAGAAACAAAAATATTTCCATGTTTTGAAATGGTGGAAGTATAGCTGAATATTCTCTGTTCAAATACTGTGTATGTTAAAAAAACCAACCAACCATGCAACAGCTTAAGCCCCCTCCAGTCTGGCTTTGGACATGGAAACTCTCCTCTGTTTCTCCTGCTGGGTGTGGCCCCTCAGATGCTCCCAAGTGGCTCTGGTTGCACATGTATCCAGCTTTACCTGAGGCCCAGAAGGTTCCAGACAACTAGGGGTGGACTTCACATTCTTTTTTCTAAATTTTTTTTCCTTTATTGATTTCAGACAGAGAGGAATGGAGAGGGAGAGAGAGACAGAAACATCGATGAGAGAGAACATCGACTGGCGGCCTCCTGCACGCCCCCCACTGGGGATCGGGCCCACACCTGGGCATGTGTTCTGACTGGAATCGAACCGTGACCTCTTGGTGTATGGGTCGAGCTCAACCACTGAGCCACATCAGCCAGACTCTTTTTTTTTTTTTTTAATATGTTTTTATTGCTTTTTTAGAGAGAGGAAGGGAAAGAGAGATAGAAACATTGATGTGAGAGAGAAACATCTATTGGCTGCCTCCTGCATGCCCCCTACTGGGGACTGAGCCTGCAACCCGGGCATGTGCCCTGACTGGGAATCGAACCCGGGACCTCTCAATCCACTAAGCCACGCCAGCTAGGCCAGATTTCACATTCTTTACTATGACAAGTTGAGGCCTAAGGTACTAATACCTGCTGCCCAGCCCCTCACCTGATGGGCTTCTGCAAAGTTCCCCCGGAGGATGCACGATGCCAGCAGCGACTCAGGTGGGGAGAACATCATGGGGATAAGGGAACTTTGAGTTTGGGGCTGTAACCGGCCATCCAGTTCATTCCTTCCAGACATGGTGTTCAGACTTCCTTCTGTTGGGACACAGAACGTGGGGGCCAAGGAAGCAACAGAAATTGAGAAAAAGCTATACTGCTATCATCTCCCACCAAACTCTTATATCTTCAAGCTTCTTTTTTTAAAAGGTACATAAATGGGTCTTGATTTTTTCTCAGTTGAAGGGCAAACCTATGCTATCATCTTTGAATATAAGACTTAAGTACCATTCTTAGGTATTCACCTGTTTCTCTCTGCTGATGGGTAACTCAACTGATAGAGAAACAGCTCTTTCCCTATTGAAATATGGCCACCTACAGAACCAAACTTTTTTAATTGACTTGTAATATTGTGTTAACTTTAGGTATACAACATAATGATTTCATATGTTATAAAATGATTACTAAAATTTAGCTAACATTCATCATCACACATGGCTGTAATTTTTTCTTTTGATGAGAACTTTTAAGATCTACTCTTAGCAACTTTCAAATACACAATACAGTGTTAACTATAGTCACGGTGCTGTGTGTTACATCTCTGGGACTTATTTATCTTATAAATAAGAACTGCTCAGTCCAGGTTTTTACACTATATTAGAGCAACTCCATATTAGGGCAAAGTTGCTTGAAGTTGGCAATTGGCTGGGACCCCCATACCTGAAGTACTTGTGCTCAGCTCACTACTTGTACTTTCCAGGGATGGATTGGAACCTCTGTCCCGGCCATCTAGAGGTGTTGGGAAAAAGAGAGAAAATCAACCACCAACTCCTTACAATGTAGAAAGACGTTGACTTGAAAACCAAGATCTGGGGAGCTAGAGAGAGAGGATAATGGGTAACTACCACCCCCACTGCTTCTTCTATAGCAACACCTGCTTTTCCTAGTGAATGGAGGCTTACTATTCCTTCGTGTGGTCATTCGAGGGTAATGTCAGCCCTTTGCAAGGGAGTCTTCTTGGCTCCCTGTCTGGAAAGGGACATACAGCTGCAGGAAAGATGGCTTGTGCATTCTTGGGGAGGATGGGTAAAGTGGATGCAAACTCTGCCTTTTGACGCAAACCGATCAAATGAGCAGCTTAAGGGCTTAGCAACTCAGCCTTGAAGTGTTCCAGGCTTCTCTCATAAGAGCCTCCACTTGACGGCTCACTTTTCTCATTGCCACTGCCGGAGACTTCTCATTCTTCCGCGCTTGGTTCAAGAGCCGATTTTTCCATCAAATCCCTTTCCCTGACTTTTGTAGGCTGTGCTGGTGTCCCCTTTATAGAGTTTTCTTCTGTTTTCGGGCAGTGCCTCAGTGCAGTTTAAGTTTTTCATGTAAACTACCTTTGCAGGTAAATCATAAATATTTTAAATGCAAAGTTCTAACATATGCCTCATTCACTTCCCTCAAGATACCTAGAATTATTAGCACATAGGAAACTCTTACGAATTCCCTGTTAATAACTTAAAAACCAGTACCAAAAATGTTAATAGAGCCCTGGCCAGTTTGGCTCAGCGGTAGAGCGTTGGCCCTAGGACCAATGAGTCCCGGGTTCGATTCCAGCCAAGGGCATGTACCTAGGCTGTGGTTTGTCCCTGGCCCTGGTCAGGGTGGTGCAGGAGGCAACCAGTCGATATGTGTCCCTCTCACACTGATGTTTCTCTCTCTCTCCCTTCCTCTCCCTCTCTCTACCTGAAGATAAATGGGAAAATATCCTTGGGTGAGGATAAAAAACAAAACAAAACCATAATAGAAATTTGATTACATGCTAATAGGCATTCATATACATTTGGTGGGAATATACATTGGTCCATCTTTTTTTTTTTTTTTATCCTCACTCGAGGACATTCTTCCATTTTTTTGTTCAGATAGAGCGGGAGGGAGAGAGAAGAAGAGAGAGAGAGAGAGAAACATCGACGTGAAAGGGACACATTGAGTGGCCGCCACCCGCATGACCAACCAGGGCCAGGGACAAACTGCAACCGAGGCACATGCCCCTACCGGGAACCGAACCTGGGTCTCTCTGGACTACAGGTTGAAGTTCTAACCACTGAGCAAACTGGCCAGGGCGGTCCATCTTTTTTTAAGGCAACTTGGTAATATCTTTATTTTATATCCATATATCTTTGACCTTGCTTTTCTACTGTTAGGGTCTTATCCTATGGCTATATTCATACAAGTATGCACAGACATATGTACAGGGTTGTTTACTACAGCAGTGTTTATAATAGTAAAAAAAACTGGAAACAATTTAAATGTCCACAAAAGGGTACATATGACAATGGAATATTAAGCAGCTTTTAAAATAAGTGAAAAAAGATGTCAATATATAGTATGATACATCTGTACATGTAAAAGGCCGTAAGTGAAAAAAGTTACAGTTCTCAATGATACATCTGAATCTATGAAATTATATATATGCTTGTACTATGTGGAAAATTTCTACAAGGGAACTATTAGCAAGGGTTATCTTGGTGGAGTGGGGCTAGGATAATCTTAGATCACTTTGTTTGTTTGGACCACGTGCTTTATCTTACAGAATATTAGACAAGTGCCACTATGCCACTTGCCTGGTAGGTGGGAACAAGGCATGAGGCATCACTCACCTGCCCGGCTCCTTCGTGTCCGACGACCTCGGCGGAGACTAGGGTACAGGGTGGTAACGGACCGGTATCTTCGGGAAGGTTGCTCCTCTGAAACAGCAAACCCAGTGGGTCACGAGGCAGTTATCAGTTTTGATTTGACCCACCTCCTGGGGTAACAGGTGGAGGAAGATTTGGACTGGGCTCTGAGGCCTGGTTCTGACACCAGTTGCTATGGTGAAATGACAAGTACGGTGTGACTCCCGTGACCTCCTCCCTCTCCCACGTTCCTGAGGTTTTTCTCCATCCTCACTTTCTGGACCCACTGGTTCTGCTGCCTGCACTCACCTGAGACCTGGTTGCTTGTCACCACCTTGTATCTCCACTGGGCCTCCGAGAGAACCTTGGAAAACTGGTGCAGGCGGCTCTGCAGTGTGTCTCTGCTTCCCAGGCAGCCCTGGCCTCCTGGCACCTTTGGCTCCTCATGGGGGCTGTGGCTGCTGAGCTCGTCCAGCTGCTCCTGGAGGAGCCTGAGGAAGGCCCCTATTGCACACTCATCAGCCAGGAACCCACTGATACCACTCGTAAAGTGCTTTAGGTCCAAAAAGCTGTGCCCGTGAGGCCCTGGGGAACTGTCTTTGGGCTCTGTCTTCAGATAGCTTGGAACTGTATTAGCAAGGCTCCTGGGGACTCCCAGGGAACCCCGTTCTGACTTCCTCTCAGGCTGTGCTATGTGCTGAGGGCTCTCTGGTGGGGACCGCAAATCCAATGGACCCTTCCCCTCAACGTCATCCTCCTCAGCATAGTCCTCAGGCAGGTGAGGCTCTGGGTGAAGACTGGCAGAGGTGACGAGGAGCAATGAGAAGATGTTTTCTAGAAGTTCCAGGCACAAAGAGTCGGGAACACTGCACAGATACTGCTGACACCTGGCCAGGTATGTTGAGAAGAGATTTGAAGCACCTAAAGAAGCATGTTTCAGAGAAGAGGGCAGAGAGAGAGCAGACATTAGAAACATTACTTGCCAGACTCAGACTTAAACACTCTCACAACTTTAACTCTTTTATTTTTGTGTGTTTTTCCAATGACTGATTTTTAGAGAGGAAGGGAGAGGGGGAAAGACAGGGAAGGAGAGAGGGAGGGAGGAAAGGAGGGAGGGAAAGAGAGAAAGAAAGAAACATCAATGTGAGAGAGAAACAATGATTGGCTGCCATGCCCGATTGGGGAGCGAACCTGCAACCTGGGTATGTGCCCTGACCAGGAATTAAACTCACCACCTTTTGGTGTACAGGACAATGCTCCAGCCAACTGAGCCACATTGGCCAGGATTCATTTATTTATGTTCTAATGACTAAGGGAATTGTAGTTACAGTCAGAAGAATAAGAGACTCTTCAGCGGTGTCTTTTCATGATTTGCAGAAAGATTTCACTACCTTAATTGTAAGTACAGCTCACTGAATACTTGTTATTTTGTTTCTGCTTTTTTAATTACATTATTCCTCATCTCTGACAAGTACTCTAGCATACAGGCTCCTTACTCCTCAGCTCTATTTTCACTCATTGTTACACTAAAGGGGATGAAGAAATACCTAGATCTCTTAAGAAACACTCACTGGTCAAAAGTGACCATGCTCAGAAGTGAAGGTTTATTCTAAAGCTACAAGGGAGAGAGAACTAACCAGCAGCCACAAAAGGCAAGTTAAAAAACTGTAAGTTATTAAGAAAAACGAGAATATAGGAAATAGGTTCTTTCACACTGTTACTGTGACCCATGACATTGACTTAGAGGCTGCATTTTAAAAAATGAAACACAACAGACAAATAATCAAGAGTGTGCTCTGTTTGGAAGGGTGAGTATATTGTTTTTTAAAACTTATTTTAGTTTATATGCCACTTATCTACACATATACAAATACATATATAAACACACAAATTATATACCTATGTGCAAACTGGAGTGTGATGTGAAATGCTATTTTTATTGTGGATTATAGAAAAAGAAGCATTTGGAAAACACTGTACTAGGTGATCAGACTCCGTTAGAACTTTGCAAATCACTTGCTTTCTCTATGTCTCTGATTAATGAAGGCTGATTAATGGATGAAATGGTTCCTGGGTGTAATAAAACCAACGGCCCCTCCGGATCCAGAGTCCCACATAAAGAACTCTGGAAGAGCTTGTTACCAGCTTGCATCAGGGATAGGGGCACTGTACCTGAGGAGACAGCATCATTCACTGGCTCTGCGGCCACGGCCAGGTCCTCAGAGGGACTGTCTTTGCATTCCTGGCACTGGGTGTGCTGGTGTGAGTTCACACAGAGGGCATAGATGGCGTACTTCATGGCACAGAAGCTCCGGTAGAGTGTCAGGTTCTGATACTGGCTCAGGTGCTCAGGGCCCGGGGCAGCAGCTGAATCTGGATGGTAGAGAGGAATAGGCAGGACTTCAGAGCTGGTTCTTTCAGGCGTGGCTGCAGGTGTGGCTGGAGCAGAGATGCTACATTTCTCTCCTTTCTGCCGGTCTGCTCCTCCTCCCTCCCAGGCCTTTTCCTCCGTGCAGCACCAGCTAACCTTCCCAGCACCAGTTCCCTGTCCCCACCAACCTTCCTGCTACTCGTCTGCTCAACATAGCCCTCACGGCTATTCACTACATCCTTCCTTACATTTCTAAAATCTTCTTTTTCCTTTTAACCAAAAATGAAAACTTAAAGTAGATGTTTAGCCTGCCCAGTGCCACCATATCTAAGAGGCAGGCTAAACATGTGTGTAGATGGAGTAATGAGGGCAAAGGCAACACATTTTTTTTTTTAAACATTTGACATTTTTAAGAAAGCACTGAAGCAGGCATCATGGGGAAAAACACTCTGTTGAAATTGATTGTACTTGTTTAATAATTTATAATGTCTCATTTAAAAAAATTGAACTTGAGGAGAGAGGGCACCATAATCTTTTAGGGTCTCTAAACATCTTAATTTGGCTTTAATCCTTTTCATAGTAAAAATCCAATCTTCTCAAAGAAAAGGCATTCAATGTAGCAAAGCAAAAAAATAAGAAAATATCACCCATGATCTTCCAGCTAAACATAACCATTAACAGTATGTTTTAACCCCTTTGACAGTTTTGCATATATATGTGTGTGTATGTTCAGTATAATGACATTTTCTACACTATTTAATTTTCTTGCTTCTTAAAAAATCCATTATAGTATATGCATTTGATTATGCTTCTTCATAAACTAAATTTCTGATGGTTGCATATAGTTCTACTGAGGCACATTCCTCCAAGGCAGGGCATTGCAGTAGTTAGGGATGGTTTGCTACTATGATGTTGCAATAAACCCCTTTACGTATAGGCTTCCTAGTGATTACTTCTTCTAGGGAGCTCAATTTTGCCAAAGTCAGGGTAAGAAACAGCGAGATCAATACTGCCTCTACCCAGCATCACTGCCCCTGGGACCTATATAAGGGCCAGGACCTATATAAGCCTGAGGGTGAGGGCTCCTTAAATTTTGCACCCAGATGCCTCTCTTAGCTCACCCTAGTGCCAGTCCTATTATTGTTCTTTTTACTTTTTCTAAGTTCTAAGTGCGTCCTGGTGGGTCACCAGGGGTCACATTTAAAATACTCCTTTGGGCCCTGGCCGGTTTGGCTCAGCGGTTGGGGTGTTGGCCTGCGGTCCGGAGAGACCCGGGTTCAGTTCCCGCTAAGGGCATGTACTTCGGTTGCAGTTTGTCCCCGGCCCTGGTTGGTCGTGCGGGTGGCAGCCACTCGATGTGTCCCTTCACGTCGATGTTTCTCTATCTCTCTCTCTCTCTCCCTCCCACTCTGTCTGTACAAAAAAATGGAAAAATGTCCTCGGGTGAGGATAAAAAATAAAAATAAAAAAATAAAATACTCCTTTGGAAGTCTGTACTTGTATGTAGAAAACAGAGTTCCAGTTCCTTTAGGAAGCCTGTTAAACAAGTTGCAGTGACACGGGTTTTCCGATGGGGGCTCAGTCCTTTCTCAACGTCCATCTACGCGATACCTAGGCCGAGCAGCAGCTGCTGCCACGTGGAAGGTTTGTTTCTCTAAGTGAAGTGTCCCAGGCCTGTGGGGCAGCTTGTGATGACACTATGATATCATTTTTTTAGAGCAAAAGAGCTTGTTAATGGGGACTTTACTTTCAATCAAAGCTCTAAGGTGAAAACAAGTCTTTGCTATTGTTTCAGGCCAGTCTTTCTTCCAAACGGCTTTATCTGTTCCACAGCGTGCGAAGGTGATATGGGAGAGAAGGGAGGTAGGCACGTGTGCTATGAGAAAGCTATGAAGACTGGAACGACTCACCAAGAGCCTGCACACACACTGCCAGTGCCCACGCTGTGAACTCGGCGGGCAGTTCCCAAGTCTGTCATTGGCATGAGGCTATGCTAGCGGTTCTGGAGGTGGGTCCGCAAGGACAGAAGTTCCTCTGGGACTGTTCTCATAGGGTTCCCTCACCTCTCCAAGAAAGGGGAGGCAAGTTCCTACATCCCATGGTCTCAGTGGGGCAAACAGCACCAATTCAGAGGGCGCCTAGGCCACCCACATCACCAGATGACACCTAGGTAAATCTTGTGCTGAAAGGAACTCGGCAGATTGTCCTAAGAGGAAACCTTGCCAAGTGGCTCCGTTGCCAACTTACCATGCTCTTGCTGGGAACCCTCAGCTGGCACCTTCTGTAAGAGCTTGAGAACCTCTTCCTCCCTAAGGGCTGGGAGGTTTGTGAGGTGATGGAGAGAGTAGAGCACTGAGTGGCTGTCTCCACCATGTAAATGACACAGGAGGTCTCTCTTTGGTATGGGGTCGCTGAAAGGGAAAGATGGGGATGGAAGAAGAGGTAGTTTAGATCACTGCTCTGAGAAAGACCAACCTGGAGTCCCTCTTGAGTTTGCTCTCTGCCCCATAGCACCCACTTCCCCAAATGCTAAATTTTAGTTGGTTTGGGACACAGCAGAGCATTTATTTATTTTAAAAAACTTTTTTCTTTACTGATTTTAGAGAGAGATATAGAAACATTGATGAGAGAGAACATTGATGGGCCACCTCCTGATGCCCCCCACTGGGGATCGGGCCCACAAACTGGGTATGTGCCCTGACCAGGAATCGAACCAGCGACCTCTTGATACATGGGTTGATGCTCGACCACTGAGCCACAAAGACCAGGTGAGCAGAACATTTATTTACCCTCTGGGAAGCACATCCATCAGGTCAGCTCTGCTTGCCTAGAAAGGACCTAGAAAGGGCCCTTTTGGTCAGTAGGATCTAGAAAAAACGTACGGATGAAGCTCCCTAATTTCTGTGCTCTTCCCAGCTCAGCAGTGACACAAGTTTCTCTGCTTCCCTTTGGGTAACGGCCTCTCACTACTTCCCACTCTGCCCTTTCGACTTCAGGAAGAGCTGGGGATGTGGGGGAAGAGCAGAACAGGAACCCAGACCTGGGGAAGGCCTACGCTTAGTTACTGGGAAAACATGGCTAAGTGACAGTTCAGTATGCAGTTACTAAGTAAAAGTGCGATCCACGCCCTGACCAGTTTGGCTCAGTGGTTAGAGTGTCAGCCTGTGGACCAGGAAGTCCTGGGTTCGATCCGGCCAAGGGCACATACCTTAGTTGCTGTTTGTTCCCAGCCCTGGTCGGGGCCATGAGGGAGGCAACCAGTCGATGTGTCTCTCTCACATTGATGTTTCTCTCTCTCTCCCTCCTACTCTGAAGATAAATGTAAAAATATCCTCAGGTAAAGATTTAAAAAAAGAAGTGTGATCCGGGATAACACACAGCTAAGAATGCGCCCCACATTTACTGTGTCACTTTGGGCACGTCACTTAACACCTCTGGGCTTCAGCTGCCCACTTTTAGAATTAGGATAATATTGGTATCTACCTCATAGGATTATTGTGAGGCTTAAGTGAAATCATCCACTTAAGGAGCTTGGAGCTATGCCTTGCTATAGTGAGTGCTCAGGAAATGTGAGCTATTGGTCTTTTTATCATTGTCATCCTTAAGTTATCTTCTAGTTATAACCTCATGGCTTTATTGAAGATAATTATTACTTATGTTTCTTTCACGGTTTAATAGTTGGAATAACTATTAGTTGCTGGCTAGCAATGTCATTCCACATTTATGTGGAAGATGTCTTGAAATGGTCACATGCACAGAACACGAGGTCAAGTGTACCCAATGGGAAGGGAGCTGGCTGCACAGGGCTATACCTGCTCTGCTGTATACACCACTCCAGGACCTCCAGGTGAGCCCACAGCCCATCACAGGCATCCCTGAGGAGCTTGTCACAACCTTCGTCCTGTATTGACATAGAAGAAAAGAGATGGTGAATCAGGCATCTGGGGTCAGAGACTGTAATGAACTTCAGGACCTTGCATTCTGCCTCAGCCCCAAGTCCCACAGCACTCTCTTCTGAGCAGCTCAGGCTGCAGAGTAAGAGTTACCTGTGTCCTGTGCAGTGTCTGGAGCAACCTCTTGGCTGATGCTAGGCTCTGGCAGTGTGTCCAGCCCAGGAGCACAAGCAGTCGACTGAGAGGCCTGAATTCCCTATCTAGCAGGCAGCCAAGACTGGAGAAGTCTTCCTCTTTCAACAGTGTTAGTGCTGTCACCTGTAAGTCAAAGGAGGCTGCTGTAGGCAATTATGTGGCTTTGCTGCTCAGTAGAGGAAGAGGCTTTCTGGTACAGCAGGTAGATTTCTGACCAGGACAGGATGAGGCCAGGTGGCTAAAAAAGGCCCAGAAAACACTAGACTATAAGCGCTTTCAAGGCAGAAACTGACTTTTGCTGAAACCACAGCTCCTAGCACAGTCAGGGTACATCGATGAGCTTAGTAAGTATCTGTTGAATTACACCGAAGCTCAGTTGCAGTCTGGAAGGAGAAGTTTGGAGTAACCAAATTCCCGTCAGCTGGACAATACATTGCTGCCACTGTCTTTTCTTTCCCGCACCCTCCAGAAAGCTGACAAGTATCCAACATTTTGGTTCCTGCCAAAGGACTGATAGATAATGGCTGGAGTTCTAATTATGAATGATACTGGTTCTTGAAGACGTCTTCCCCCTGGGACTATGGGATGGACAGAACCAAATGTCTCACCATTAGTTAGATTTCTCTGTGTTGGATAAATGAGTGGGAGAGAAATGAGGAATGAAAAAGCCTGTGGAGCGTTCCTGAGTACTTCTGATGGAAAATAATTACGTTTGACCTACCAGGATCTGCTCGAGGAAGTGCTTGTTGTTACTCAGGCAGTAGAAATAGGCCGATTTCCAAGCCTCGGCCGGGTCAGGACTGGAGAACAAGGCTAGCATTGCCCACTCGGGATCCAGATGATCTGGTGAGAAGGAAAATGGAAGCAGACAGGGTTACTGGGGAACCGGAGCTCTTCTTTCCTAAGCTAAAGCCCATTTGAAAAACCAACTGTTAGAGTTCACTCTTAAAAACATAAACCCGGTTTCCTATACCTCTACATTAAAGACTCTTTCCTTCTCTCATCAATTTCTGAAAAGCTCTTTGCTGCTATTGCTATTCCTTTATTTTTTTTCCCCATCACCACTCCACCACTACATAATCTGTGCTTTTACAAAAGAACATCTCACCCTTTTTTGCTTAGCCTTTCCTATTAGCCTTCCTGAGCCCACGAAAGGCCCTGGCCTAGAGGAACTCCAGAGGCTGGGCATAGTGGGATTACCAGCACAGCAAAAGCAGCAAGGGAAACACACCTTTTCCCGACAATGTGGCCTTCGGTGGCTTCTCTGTGGCCTTCTCTGCATAGGTATGGCCATACAGGGACACCAAGCCCCGCCCGGCCTTGTGCAGCAGGCAGCTGAGCAGCCGCTCCTCCTGCAGGGGACTCCCCTCCGTCCTGCAGGCCTCCAGTAGTTCCTCACACAGGACACGCAGCTCCACCCCGAGCGGCTCTGCAGGGCAACGCAGAGTCCGCAGGGCTCCGTAGATGGCATCTACGCCCCCAGGGGGCCCAGTGGCAGGGTCCTGCAAAGCTCGCAGTGCCTTTCGAATGAAGTCCACCAGTGCCTTCTGCAGAGGCCAGCCACAGAGGTCGGTGCCCTCATCTTCCCTAAGCAGAAGCTCCAGCAGGGCCTGCGCTGGCTGGGGAGCCCGGCTCAGAAGATCCAAGAGCACAGAGATAGCTTCTGAGCTGAGCCGAAGGGTGCAGCTCTCCTGCCTTCGATTTCTGTCCAGCACGGGGTCTGCAGTGTCTTGTGATAAAGCCTCATAAAGCTCCTAAATAGAAGATGAAGACAGGGATGTATGGTATGTCTAGAATGTTATCACCTGTATGTCTTTATGTTTTCCTATTTTCAGTACATATTTGTGTGTGTGTGTGTGTGTGTGTGTGTGTGTAAGTAACAGTAGCAATAACAAACACTTCTGTAGTAATTGTTATGTGCCAGGTCCTTTATACAGAAAAATCAAATCAATCCTTACAACAATCTTAAGAGAAAGACACTACTATTATCCCCATTTTACAAATGAGGAGACTGAGGTAAAGAGATGAACTCAGTTGCCCAAGGCCTCCATGCTCAAGTTTGTCCCCGCTTACTGCCTCCAAAGTGTGCACTGTTGCTCTCAATCAGGGACTGCAAACTCACAGACCAAGCAGATGACAAATGGGCAAGTGACATCATGCCCAATCCAAGGCATTTAAATTCCATTTTTAAAAGAACATTATGCGACCGTGGCTCAGTTGTTTGGAGTATCATCCTGTAAACTGAAAGGTCGCGGGTTTCATTTCTGGTCAGGGTGTGTACTGCAGGCAACTGATTGATGTCTCTCTCTCATATTGATGTTTCTCTCTCCCTCTCCCTCTCCGTCTCCCTCGACCTGCCTCTCTCTCTCAAATAAATGAAAAGAAAAAAAGAATGTCATGCACCAGTTTTTAATCCTAGCCTTGGTTTAAGGTATAGGCCATTCCTTATCCCCAATACCTCCAACCCATATAACTCTCCCTTTCTATTGGGCTTTCAATGTATTCACAATTAGTACCATATGGTTTATAATTGTCTCATGTTTCTGTTAGTCTCTTCTCCCTGACTAGACCAAGCCCTTAAAGGCTAGAACCTCTACAGCCTAATTTTGTTTAAAGAGCAGAGGCAGAGGAATAAAAGGGGGTGCTTTAGTACCCTAACTATGGATGGTGCTCAGGGATGCTTCCTCATTAACTGCCTCCAAGATGATCAGAGAACCAGGAGTCCTTGACTTAATATAAGTGAAAGTACGTCTCTTAAATCCTACTGCTAATATGTCTTTATTAGTTCATGGCAGAGTGATGAAGAAAATAAGTACTGAGCCTCAGAGTATACCTCAGGCACTTAAGCACTTAAGTATAGATCTAGTTAAGACTTAGTTTAACCCTGGCTGGGTAGCTTAGTCGGTTAGAGCATTGTCCCGATATGCCAAGGTTGCAGGTTTGATCCCTGGTCAGGGAATATACAAGAATCAACCAATGACTGTATAAATAAATGGAACAACAAATAGATGTTTCTCTCCCTCCCCCTTCTTCTGTCCTTCTAAAATTTAAAAAAAAAAAAAAGCGCCTTAGTTTGAACCTGGCCCCAGAAGGTTGTTGTGAGGATGAACTCCAACACCTTCAGTGCAGCTGTTACAGGAGAGGTATTCAACAAGCACTAGTTCCTTTTCCCCTTCACATTTCCTACCATCTACTGGTAAACAATTCAAACTCCTAGTTTAAATCCAAGCTACTATTTCTTTACATGAAATGAAAATCACTTTAATCCCCAGCTATACTTAGTGTTTCTGGACAATCCACCTATAAGAATTCTAAAATCAGGTAAGTTTATCCTAATTCTAAACTCCCCGCAGAGTGGCCTCGATCTAGCCTGGTCTTGCCTGAGAACAGAGTACAGTCGACCTCTAGGGAACCCATCTCTGCTGGATTCCTGGCAATTGAACTGGTTGAGTAACTGTGACCCTTGGCAGGTGGTTCCAGAACCCTCTCTCACCTTCAGGATGTCCTCTGGAATGTGACCTTGGAGGTCTTCTGACAATAAAAGAAACTCCAGCTTTCTTCGGAAAACAGCTGGAAGTAACTTCTAGAAAAATCATAAAGAGGAAGTACAGTGATTAGGCATATGCTTTAGTTAATAAAATGTAAGTAAATATTTCTCTCCAGTTACTATTCTTTTTTTTTTTTTTTTACTGCAAATAAAATTTTATTCATAAATCACTAGCCATGAGTTTTTATCATTAGTTACTACATAAATGCTGCTTGGTGCCATTATCCAAGTGGCATGATCATTTTCTGTCCACAAGTCACCTTGTATTTACAGAATTTTCATGATTTACATATATGCATCTATCAGTGAGGGTTTAACATTGAGATGCAACATAGCATCCATAATATCTGCTGTTTTCCAGATACCAAAGTAGCAGAAATGTATTTTTATTCACCTTTTCATTTGGTCACCTTATGTAAAAAAAAAAAAAAAAAAAAAATCAATAACTTAGACATTCTAAGTCTCTAAAGGAAATTTTCCAGTGTGTTCGTGGAAGTGGTTAGACAGTAAGATCGTCAGAAACAACGTCCATGTCCACAACCTCTGGTAGCTCCTGTACCATTTGTCTGCCAGTGCCTCCTCTGTGCAAAGGGGCCTGGATGAGATTCAGGTTTTGCTTGACTTCTCTGATGTCCTGAGCTTTCTGCAGTTCTTTATTTTTCTTCAACCTGTTCATTATAAATTTGGCTTGACGTTTCTGCTCGATCTCTTCCGAATCTCTTCACCGAATCAATCGTTTTATTCCACGGCACTCATGGCTATTTGATAGGTTAATTTCTACGTTTTTCAAATTCAAATGAATTATCCACTGTAAGCTCTTTACCAGCTGCTTTACATAATGCTTTAGCCCCCTTGACCTTGTGAGGATTGAGCTTCTTTTTAAAGCTTTATGACATTTGGATTTACAGAACCTGAACATCCTGCAATCGGTGAGAACATCGTGCTGAATCCAGGGTATATGGGCCCAAAAAAGACATAACACTTCTCGGTCTCCCCACTTACTCTTATTTCTGTTGTTTCTCTAACCACTGAATTCCTAGGAATGTTTTTGAGATACATTTCTTTGTATACAAAAACAGCTAAACTTGTATGCATACCCCTCTTGAATATTAACACTTAAATCCCACATTGATCAGCCTTAAACTCAAGGTTTGTTTATTTTTATTTTATTTTATTTTTAATTGATTAATTTTTGTTACAAATGATTCTCCTTTTTCCCCCCAGTGGTTCCCCCCTCCCCCTTCCCTCCCCGCCCCTTCCCCCAATTGTTGTCCATGTCCACTGTTCATGCCTATATGCATATAAATTCTGTTGTTCATCCCTCTCTCAGCTCCCCACTCCTTAGGGGATTGTCCTCAAACTGTTATGTTCATTATATTCCAGAAATCAGTGAGATCATATGAAATTTGTCTTTCTCTGCTTGGCTTGTTTCACTCAGGATGATACTTTCCAGGTCCCTCCATGTAGTCTCAAAGGACAAGAGATCTTTCTTTCTTACCGCTGCGTAGTACTCCATTGTGTATATGTACCACAGCTTTTTAATCCATTCGTCTACTGATGGGCACTTGGGCTGTTTCCAGATCTTAGCGATTGTAAATAGTGCTGCTACAAAGATGGGGGTACATATATTCTTTTTGATTGGTGTTTCAGGCTTCTTGAGGTTTGTTTATTTCATATGACTTTTTTTTCTGTCACTTGAGGTCTTTCTCCAAGAATCTCCCTTGCAGTGACCAAAATACCCAGTTATGAGTAAGCCTGGGAGGGTATGGACCACATCATCCTCTTTTGGTCTAAATCCTTGATTTTAGTATTTATTATAAGTTGGAAAACAAAAGTAAACAGGAAGGATTTAATGTTTATTAAACACTTATGTGCCAGGTATTGTGTGTGCTATATTTTCACATATTTAAAAAAAAAAAAAAAAAAAAATCTCATTTAGTCTCTAAATCAAACAAACCTGAAATGGTTAGGAAGCACTTTCCAACTTTTTCAAGCATTAAAAGGAAGAGTGATCCCCATGTTTGTTAATGAGACGCGCCATCAGAGAAGACTAATGTATAAAAGAAGAGAAAGCCTTGGATTCTTTTGGTACCTGCTTGTTTCACAATTACTTCCCTTCACCTAGTTCTTAAAAGTAAAATTATAGTCTCCCTGTCTCCAGACACAAATACAAATAGATTAAGCCTGGAAATAATCCTGACAAACACAGCTTTAAAATAGAGACACCAGTAAATCATGTAGCTGGTTAAAGCTTCCAGAAGCTGGGTTTTGTTAACAGGTCCCCTAACTCAAGGCAAGAAGTATCTGCAGGATCACACGTAGTCTATTCATATGCTATTCATCAATCACATTAGAGGCTAACATGATCTGGTATGTCCTTGGTTCAAAATCCTATTTCTTCTTACCACACCCTTCCCTAATGCACCTATACTACCCGAATGCTTGTATAATATGAATGATTGGAAGTTGGTGGAGAAAATTCATGCTAGGAAGCCGAAGGTTAGAGCTTCTACTGAGAACTAAGAGGAAGGAATAGGTAAGATGCTTAGACAGCAGGCCCTTAACAAAAGAATAAAGTCTGGTTAAGATTTTAGAACTTTAATCTAGAATTCTAATAAGTTTATATTTATTTTACTAGTGAAATTATATTATGTATATGCATGGCCATAAATGACTAACATTTCTAAAACAGCAAGAATTTGTTCCATGTTTCTAAGCAAAGATTTTCTTATTATAAAAGCAAGGCATGTCAATGTAGAAAAATTAGAATATACAAAGAGGCAAACAATCCCACCCCACCCCACCCCAAAGCTTCCCACTTAAAAAGAACTACTATCAATACTGTGGTCTAAGGGCATTCAGATTGTTTTCTACACATGCATCTATGCAAGCATACCAAATCTACTGTTCTCTAAACTTTTTTTTCCCACATAGCAGAGTATGAACATCTTTTCCACGTAACTGAAATTCATTTACCACATCATTTTAATAATGGCATGATATTTTACAAATAGAGGAGCCGGCCCTGTATGGTGGACATGGGAGTTTCCAGTTTTCCTCTATCAGAAGCAGCATGGCTGTGACTGTTTCTGCAGTTAAATCTTTGCACACACACTTACACATGTAGACAGAGAGCACTACAAGATAAAAGGCAGAAGGCAAAAGTGGATAAAGGAAAGGGAAAAATAGAATAACTGTTTCAACTAAATTAAAAGGGAAGCTTTCGGCAGAAGGTGGGAGACTGGAAAAGGATAGGCAGCCAGCAAGTCCCTGGAAGGTGAAAGCCACAGGTCCTTTCCCAACCTGTGAGGTTCAGCCATCAGGGCAGAAGACCAAAGAGCAGGCCATTCCCCCAACCAACCTGGAGTCAAGGATGACCACTCCCACATGTGACTGGCCTTGTAGAACTGCTCCATGAATTCACTGGAAATCTTAGTCCTTGTATAAAGTTTTAAAATTCTCTGAGGTCCTTGTTTAAAGTTTAAAAGAGTTCCACAACTGTTTAAATAACTGAGGCATTGGAGCCTTATGGACCAAATGATCTTCCCGCTGGCAGAAGCAAGAACCCTTAGTTGTGCTGAGTCAGGGATGTGAAATCCACCGCCTGACCCGATTGAGTAACTGCCCACAGAATAAGCAACCAAACAGCCATAAAGGAAGCAAATACCGTTTAGAGAGGAGAAAATTCCTCTGGTTTGATAAATTCCATGTTTGTACTAGAAATATCCTTAGTAACAATAAAACATTTTTCTTTTTCTCTTTCATGATACTATTAAATATTTTAGCTCAAGTGTTTTCTCTTTTAAATCTGAAACTATAGGCAACGCTTATGCAGGGGTTGATTATTTTTCAGTTTTGCTTCTTTCTTTCCTTTCCTCTGAGTCTTTTCATCACTTCTCCTTGCAGACAACTGGCAAAAGCCCGGATAACAAATGCATTTAGGTAAGTACTTTCTGTTCCCTTTTCACAGTTCTGTGGAGAGGGGTAGGTGTCAAGCACAACTGGAACTAAAGACAAAATTAATTCTGATGACTGAGGGGAGTAAAGAAAAAAATTAGGCTAAATTATACACATTTACAAAATAGAACTTATGGTTTCTTACTTTTAAGACCATGAAGGCAAACACCAATATCGAAGTGGAAAAAGCAGAGATGGGAACTCAAAGTTAGGGAATCTTGGTTCTAGCTCTGGTTTTGCCAGCTTTATGGTGTGACCTTGACTCTTCTGAGTCAGAGGTTCCTTAAAGTTGGAGGCTTAATACAAAATTGCCTCAGAGAAATATCTTTAATGGATATCAATTTCTGATAACTATCACATCTAAAAAGGCTTTTCATGGCAATTTTTCTTTCAGAATAAAAAAGCACTCCCTTACAAGTTCTCTTTCAGTATTAATTTCATCACTTTGTCTTTATATTTGGTAAATTATCAATCAATTCACGTGAGTTACTAAATTGCTAACTAATGAGGCTTAAATCTACAAGATTTCACTGCGCTGGACAAGTAATAAGATATTTGGAAGAACCACCAAGTTCCAGCCTAGTCCATTTGAGTATTATGAGGGTCATACCTCATTCCCTACCTTGTCACTTTCACTGAATTCTGCGAAGTTCTGTTCAGGCACAACTCTCACGATGGTATTTCACAAAACGGTATCATCTCAAATGGTAGTACATGCTAATGTATGTTAGTGAGTTAATGAATGAATTCAGGTAAGATAAGAAGACAGCAATACAAGTTTGAGCTATTCTCCCTGTTAGTACAGAGAGAGGATATGACAAACCTCACAATAAAGGAAGTAACAGACAGAAGGAAAATCTCATAATTACTGCCAAGTTGTTCTCAGTCTCGGCCTCAGGAGAAATTCTGAAATAGAAACCTACTTACCTTTTCCTGGGCAAACCATTTTTCCAGTACAAGAAGCCAGACCCAGGCTAATCTTTGAGGGTTGATGTCCTGTCCACAACTGAAAAATGTAAAAAGAAAGAATTACTATGGACTTTTTCTCTTTTGTCATCCAAGATTTACATTTCACTCAGTCTATTTTAAACCTGAACAGGCAAGACTTTCTAATGAGAAATTTTCAGATGTACATGACAGATCAATAAAACCAGAACCAGAATAGAGCTAGCAGCTTTCATGGAAAAGAAAAGAAAAAGGTCTTAATCTTACCTCCACTTCCCTATCTAGGCTTATTTATTTATTTATTATCTTTACCCAAGAATATTTTCCCATTTATTTTCAGATAAGAGTGCAAGGAAGGGGGAGAGCGAGAGACATTGATGCGAGAGAGAGACACATCAACTGGTTGCCTCCCACATGGCCCCGCCTGACCAGGGACGGGACAGAACCAAAACCAAGGTACATAATTGATTGGAATCAAACCCTCAACTCTTTGGTCTAAGGGCTGACGCTCTAACGGCTGAGCCAAACCGGCCAGGGTTATTTTTTAATATGTTTTTATTGATTTTTTTTAGAAAGAGAGTAAGGGAGGGAGAGATAGAAACATTGATCAGCCATCTCCTGCACACCCTTTACTGTTGGAGCCCGCAATCCAGGCATGTGCCCTGACTGGGAATTGAATTGGGACCTCTCAGAACATGGGACGATGCTCAATCCACTGAGCCACACTGGCCGGGCATAACCTTTATTATTTTTTAAACAAAATAAAATTACATAGGAAACCATAAAAGTAAAGCTATCCAAAGTATATTCTTGAAAGCAGAAACTGAATCAAATAGTACTAAAGAAAAAAAGGAATTTTAATTTAACTCTATGTTAAAAGGAGGGTTATAGGAATTTGTAAGCCTTTCTTTGTAGTAATTTAAATTAGATAGTTACAGGCTGGAACTCAAATTCAAGGGGAAAAAATTAAGGAAGAAAAGAGTCATTTAAGTCTCCACTCTACACAGGGTGGAGCAAAAGTATGTTTACAGATGTGAGAACATGAAACAGTTTATTCTTGTATTATTTATTAATTATTGTATTATTTTCCCTATGAACTGTAAACCTACTTTTGCCCCACCCTGTATGTGTTAATACAGTACTTAAACAATACAACAGAACTGCTAAAGTAAGGAAAAGTGAGGGAGAGACTGAACAGTACATTTAATTTCTATACCAGTAGTTATTAGCACTTATAGGAAGAATTTCATTGAAAATTTAGAGAACAGTGGTTGTCGGGGGCAAGGAGGAGTCAGAATACAAATAAGTATTCACAGGGAGTGAGGGAATTCTTTTGTGGTGATGAAACAGTTGTGTATCTTGATTACAGAGGTAGTTACATGAATATACAATGGATAAAACTGCACAGAACCACACACATAAAAATGAACGCAGATTAAAAACGGTGAAAACTGCAGGGCTGGTGTGGTCAGTGGATTGAGTTTTGTCCCATGGACTGAGAGGTCCTGGTTCATTCCCCGGTCAGGGCACAGGCCCGGTTGCAGGCTCACTCCCCAGAAGGTGGCGTGCAGGAGGGGGCTGATGATGTTTCTTTCTTAGGTGGATGTTTCTATCTTTCCCTTCCTCTCTTTCTAATAAAATCAATAAAAACATATTTTTAAAAAAAGCTTTAAGTGCATTCACTTCAATTTCATAAACAATTATAGGAGGGTTTGCTTTTTTGGAGGCAAAGAAAATATATCACAATGCAGTCCCACCATCTATTTTAATGATAATAAACAAAAAAAATGGTAGTTTCAGACACAATTTGCTGGCCAGGCTTAAACAGTTCCAAATGATAATTCAAAGCCAATACTGATTAAGTAATAGGCATGTATTAAAGAGGCAAATGTTCAGAGCATGTGAAATACACTCTTCCTGTTAATTCTTCAGAGGGTAGTTGAGTGAGGCATATTGACCAGAGCTCAAATATTGAACCTTGTGTCTCATGCCCTGTGACTGCCTGGCAGGAAGAGAGATCCCTTACCTCAGCTGATCTGGACACACCACCAGCGCCTGGAGTATGTCCTCCACCTTCTTTGGGATATCCCCTTGTGCCTGGTGTAGCTGAGGCACACATGCCTGTGCCAGCTCCCATTCTCCTCTTCGAAGGCACTCACAGAAAAATCCAAAAAGCTCCTTCTGGGAAGCAGTTTCCTCTTTTCCAAATGGATGATGCATTTTCCCAGCACAGAGTGCAGGGAGGTAGAACGAGATGAATTATGCAGATCACATGATCAATTTTCCCATTCGTGGAGCACCTTCTATAAAACAATGTACACCAGAGTAAGAAGAAATGGAAGGAGCTGTATTTAGATAAATAGCAACTACTAGCCCGACGGGGAAAGGCGCGACTTAACTTTCCTAATTATCGTTGTAAGATTGATTTGACATGCTACTATCTTTGAGAAGTTCCACCTTTCCCCAAGGGGTGGATCTCATCTCTCTGAGAGCATCCAATATTCAATGAATATTAACGTTTGTATTAACTCGGGGCGCAGACCCATAACTCCACGTTCATATTCCCTCCTAAACTTTAAATCCAGTTCGGCTCAAAATCCCCAGGTGGTCGCCTCCTTAAATATGAGAAATTCAGCAGGAACCTCCCTACTTTGCCCTCCCTTAAGGTAAAGGATTGACGATCCAGAGACGAATCTGTGTCAGAACTGCAGGGCGGTGGGGGGTTGGGGCCTAGGACGCTCCCTACAGGGGTTTTGGAGAGCCCTCCCGCCTTCCCTGGGGTGCCTTACACTCACCTGCTCCCGGTGCCCAAAGCAACAGTGCTTCCAGCGCAGCCATGTTTCAGTGGAGTCAGGTGACAGATCCCATTCGGAAGGTTGCCAGGGGGCTGGGGATTGCTGACGATTAACAGCGGCCACTCCTATTGGTCAATGGAGGGAAGATGCAAATAAAGCACCATATTTGTTTGGATCACGTGACTCCACCCCTAGGAACTGGAGAGCAAGGAGGCTCGGAAAGAGTAAATCAGCTACCTGGCTGAGGAACATTGCTTTCAGTTTGGACAGCTTCTCATCTCGACACTTTCTGTTCTGCACTCGGCGGAGCAGGTGGCCGAAAGAGCTGTGTTTCTTGATTTTATTCTTCCGCTCTCTTTTCTTCCTAGCGTTTGAAGTCACCTTTTACTGAGCTCCAATCACTGTCAGTGCTTTGCTAGGCCTTGGCGGGATACCCAGAGCAAGACCTGAATCCTCCTCCATTATTCTGTACACTTGGGCTCTCTTATAATGTCAGAACCCTGCATTCTGAATTCCCATTTTCTTCTGTTTAACTCTGTTCATTTATGTGCTCATTTACCCGACAACCATTAATTAGTGTTGTGCTAGCCTTTAGAAGCTGAATAAATTGTGGTCCCTGTCCTCAAGAAGCTCAGTCTAGTGAGGGGTGCAGGTCAATAATTAGGATAAAGTGGGCTAAATTATAAGATAGAGGTATGCACAGGGGAGATAAGAGCAAAGAATGAGCAAAAGCTTTTCTCATATGTAATATTCTGAAACTGAGAAGGTTACGTTTTGAGTAATTTTATTCAGCATTTCCCAAACTATTTCACTACCAGAGGCTGATGAAAAGCAAGCCAAAATAACCCAAAAGCTTCTTCCAAAACCTCTCCTATGATAGGTGCATTCTCTATTTCCAGAAAGCTAACATAGTTTCTCTGATTCATTAAGTAATTCTTAAGTGTAGTGACGAAAAAAAGAAAGGGGGAAAAAAAAAACTGCAAGCAAGGTTTTGCTTGCTTTCATACACTCCTTGCAGATGTTCCGCCTCTGCATATTGATGATCACTAGATCGAGAAACTGGGACTTAAGCTTTATTGTAGCGTGTGAACTACAATTCCCAGCAAGCCGCGAAGCCGACCTGGCTCTGCCTACCTCTGATTGGATGTTTCTCAGGAGCATGACCCAACCAGCGCTTCGGTTGTTGCTTTGTAGCGCTTTCCGCGGGGAATTAGGGGATAGTTGGGGGAAACTTTGAAAGTTGGATGCTGCGGACCCGGTACTGGAAAGTTTCATCTTGGGGGCAGTAGTGGGGAAGCGGGGTGCACGCATTATTTTCTGCTCCCGCTCTGAGCCCGTGGTATTGTTATGGGGGCAGCGGAGAATCTATCTTGGGTGCAGGGCACGCCCCCTTAATTCTGTAGGAATCTTAACAAGAATCCTGCCGCGGATCTGGTGGTTCCTGTCTTCCTTTGTGGGGTTGTGAGGAAGCTGGTCCTTGTTGAAAAAGCTCTTTTTAGGTGATTCTGGGGTGGTGTTTTTGCCTCTTGATGCCACCTCCTTCTTTTACTTCTGGGCAGTTTGGGGTGTCTAGGCAGGGGAGCCCGTGTTTGGGGTAAGTCTAGGGTCTGCCCGCCCTGAGGTGGTGTTGCAGAAGAGGTAGATAATAGCGTGGAATCTGGAGTCAGATCTATGGATTTGAATGCGGACTCCATCATATGCTAGCTGTTGGACTGTGGACGTTTTACAACTGAATGCCTCGTATCTTTACTCTGTAAAATGGGGTAAAACATCCGAAGCGCTTGGAACAGTGTATGGAACGTAATAAGGGCTCAATAAATATTAGCTATCATTGTTACTTAACAGTTTTCATTGAACATCCAACAGGAGGAGTTTTCTTTTCTTTATCCTCACCCGAGGACACTTTTCTATTTTTTGTTCAGATAGAGTGGGAGGGAGAGAGAGAGAAACATCTACTGAAAGGGACACATCGAGTGGCTGCCACCCACAGGACCCAACCAGGGCCGGGGATAAACTGCAACCAAGGTTCATGCCTTTAGCGGAACCAACCCGGGTCTCTCTGGACCGCAGGCCAACGCTCTAACCGGCTCTAACCGCTGAGCCAAACCGGCCAGGGCTTGCTTTCTTTTCTTGATGAGGAGGAGAGGATGCCATCTCCAGGGTTGAACCATCTTCCCTTTTTCCCCATTCACATGAGCACATGTACACACATAACAGAGCAGGAATTTACAGTCTCTGGTGGAAGAATCAGAGACCCTAACGATCCGTTGATTATGGGGCAAATATGTACAAAGTGATGAGAACATTGGAGGAGGGAATGAATTTGGTTAAAGCTTTGTGGAGGCAAGTCAGGGAGGCAGGATGGCGCTTTTCCTGACCTACTGTATACTGTTGTGGCTGGAGAGCAGGTCATGTGAGGCAGCAAATGATGCTTTGCTGAATGAATTGATAATGATAATTATTGTTAACCTTAAGCATTATGTGAAATCCTTTAACCTTCATTACATTCCTAGGGAGTAGATATTTGAATTACCCTTGTCTTACAGATGAAGAAACTAAGGATGTGGGAGGTGGAGTAACTGCCAGGAAGGTCAGGATCAAGGCCTTGCTATCTGATGTAGGAATGAAAGGGAAATGAGAAACCAATTTATGAAGGGTCTAAATCCTAAGGAGTGTGGAATTTATCCTGTGGTCTAATGGTTCCATGGGCAGTTTTTAAAGGATGAGAGTAACAAGATTGGAGCACCTTTTTAGGAAGTTACGTCTGGCAGGATTATGGCACTGGCCTGATGTTTGCAGGCCAGTTTGGTGGGTCTTCTTGTCCATAGCACATTTAAATACCAATGACAGTACTTATTGCATGACTGAAGTTATTTTGTATACTTCACATCTTTTACTGTGAGTTGCCAAAGGAAAGGGAATATGCTTAAATGAATCTTGTACCCCAGAATTTAGCAGTGTGTGCTTAATAAGTGCTTGAGGCCTTGGCCAGGTGGCTTAGTTGGTTGGAGTATCATACTGCACCAAAAGGGTTGTGAGTTCAATTTTTGTTGGGGCATGTGTTTCTGTGTGTGTGTTGGGGAGGGGAGGGGAATGGATGTTCCTCACATTGATGTCCCCCCACCCTTCTCTCCCTCTCTCACTTCACCCCACCTTCCTCTCTCTCTGGAAATCAGTAGACATATCTTCAGGTGAGAATTTAAAAAAAAAAATAATAAAATAACTGCCTGTGGAAGGAGCAAACAAATAGATTTTTTTTTTGTGTGTGTGAGGCAGTGAGTGACCAGAGGCAATATGCAATAGTCCAGACAAGTGATGGGTGTGGCCCTAATAAAGTCAGGGATAGCAGGATTGATCATTCTTAAAGTCCAGGTAGTTTGGAGTTTATAGTTCTTCTTTTTGATTGATTTTATCAGTCTAAATTGTGTCATTGCCCAGAACTACCTGATCTGTAAAGACACTAGGCAATGACATAGAACATGCTACTTAATAAATGTCCCACTGGGGAAACAAATTAATACTGACACATTCCTATTAAGAGAAATGAGAGGGATGTATTCTGTGTGGGAAGTGTGTGTGTGTGTGTGTGTGTGTGTGAGTGTGTGAGAGAGAGAGAGAGATATTTAATCTGATATACAGATATTCAGTGTGATTCAGAGAATTTGGATGTTAAATAAAAATTTGGGTCATGATATTGGAAATAAATATCTACATTCTTAGTATATATATATATATATATATATATGTATATATTTTTTTAATTTTACTTTTCTGATCATTATATTGCATGATCCCCTGGAACAATGAACAGTTTCTGTTTCTACTCTATCCAGAGAATATTTTGCCATTTCAATGAGATACACAGCCTTTCCTTTGCATATTTTTTTTTATCCTCACCCGAGGACATTTTTCGATATTTTGTTCAGACAGAGTGGGAGGGAGAGAGAGAAGGAGAAACATGGACATGAAAGGGACACATGGAGTGGTTGCCACCCACATGACCCAACCAAGGCTGGGGACAAACTGCAACCGAGGTACGTGCCCTAAGCGGGAACTGAACCCAGGTCTCTCTGGACTGCAGGCCGACGCTCTAACCACTGAGCCAAACCAGCCAGGGCTCCTTTGCATACGTTTTTAAGGGAGTCACAGTGATTCTAGTCTAGCTCTCTGAAGGCAGTTATTTCAAGAGCTTCATTTAGCCCTAGCAAGGTTCAACAAGAGTGAAATTTAATTGTATATGGGAATGTGATCAGCTAGTATAGTATTTGGGAATGTGGGCAGCTAGTATAATAAACAACAATTCAGCTTGTAAATAACACCTGGAATAATAAAATCTCATTCGATTCAGAAGATTTGCTCTGACTCATAGAACAAGAATTTAAATATGGTTATGGACTTGTATTCAAGTGCAGTGGTTAGGAGGATAGACCTCAGTATCAGACTTCCTGGGTTTGAAATCTAGAACCACCATTTACTTTTTCTGGTGATAATAGAATAGCTAAGCTTTCCAGGCTTTTGTTTTCTCATATGGAAAAATGGGGTCAATAACCTTTCTTATAGGGTGTGGAGAAGATTGAATGTGATAATTTACTGTATAGCAACAGTGCCTTGTATAGTAGTTGCTCAATAAATTATTGTTACAGTACAAATGGAAGTACAAACTTTCTAGGAGTGTCATTTCGAAATATGCCTTGAAGGTTACTTACACATCCAAATTTATAAATGTATTGAAAAATCTCAAGATGCTTTCCAAATGTCAAGTAGTATTATATTCATGTAATAAGTATCAAAGAATGGTGTGAACTGTATATTTTTATCTAGCCTTGTTTCTCTGTGTATATGTTTGACAAATAGTTTTCTCCTGTATTTAAAACATTTAGAAAGATTCTAGCCTGGCTGGTGTGGCTCAGTGGTTGAGTGTTGACCCATGGTTGCTGGTTCAATTCCCAGTCAGGGCACATGCCCAAGGTTGTGGGCCAAACCCCCAGTGGGGGGTGTGCAGGAGGCGGCCAGTCGATGTTCTCTCTCATCAATGTTTCTAGCTCTCTCTCCCTCTCCATTCCTTTCTCTCTAAAAATAAATAAGGAAAAAAAAGAAAGATTCTATAGCCTTCCTTTATTTTATCAATAATATTTTATTTTATCTTTTTATTTTTTGTTAATTCTCACCCGAGGATATTTTTCTATTGATTTTTAGATAGAGTGGAAGGAAGGGATGGGGTCAAGGGGGGCGGGGGGAGACAAACATCCATGTGAGAGAGACACATCGATTGGTTGCCTCCTGCACAACTCCGACCAGACCGGGATTGAACCTGCAATCCAGGTACATGCCCTTGTCTGTGAATCAAATCTGAGACCCTTTGGTCTGTGGGTCAATGCTCTAACCACTGAGCAACCAGCTAGGGCTTATCAATAATATTTTAAATGCTATGCATTTCATTATGCACATGGAAAATTTGAAGAATTTTTTTACTTTGTAATGTTTTGGATAGTAACCATCTATTATCACTTATGCTATTTTCTGATGTTCCCCCCCACCTGCATCTGGAGTCATGGGTAGCAAGAAATTAAGACGAGTGGGTTTATCGCCAGAGCTGTGTGACCGTCTGAACAGACATCAGATTGTTACCTGTAAGGTAAAATTTATTTAATTTTTTTAAATGAGAAACTTTAAGTACAAATTAATTTTAAGTATTTCTTATTAACTCTTAACTAAACCTGAAATGTGAAACCCTAGGTTTATAGGGAAAAAAAGGATAAATGATGGTGTTTCTCCATAGATTAATTTTGAAACCAAAATGATAAGCCATTTAGCTTATACTTATAATTCAAATATGATTTCATTTAACCTGGTTCAATATTTTCACATTTTGGGGAGAAGGATGCTCATGGCATAAGGTGAAGTACACCTGTGCCATTTATTTGAGGTTCTAGAGAAGTTTTACCTACTTAAAAGAAAATTTTTACTTACATGAGAGATATGACTCAAATGAGGAGATGTTATTCAAAATGGGTAATTCCTCTTGAAAGCAAGAGAAATTAATAGTTAGGATCATTTTCCTATTGATGGACTGAGAGAAATGTATAGAGAGGATGTTGCATTTTTAAGTATAATAGTGAAGCAAATTTCTTTTAGATTAAATGAGATTTAAGGTTTTAGATTAGGATTTAATCCTTAATATGACAGACTTTCAGAACATGCTGCAGTTTTAAATAAATTGCTTTGTGTGTTAAAGGTATTTTTGGTTCCTCTGTTATACACTTAATAATCCTCATGTTCATACTTTGAAACCTCTTAAAAGTATGAAGTTTAACATTTCATTCCATAGTCAGTTTTATTCTGTCAATTATCAAATACTTCCTCTGAATGATCTCAGGTAGCTTAAGAGGCAATGCATTTCAATCTGACACTTTCTGGGCATCTCTTTGTGCCCAGACTCTTTCAGGAACAGGTGCAATGCTCATACACACGTGAGCTGGATGCTCTGCCATGTGATGTTACTTGGTGTGTCCTCTGGTATACGCCAACTAAATAGGATAATTACAAGATAAGACTATCATATCTTTTAGTGAAGGCATATTTTGAGGGGAATGTACCATAAGGAACACATAAATCTTTGATCTGCAATAAATTTCACTTTTATCTACCATGGACAGTATCAGTTGAAACTTTCTAATTCCAAAATCTTTGTTACATATATATTTAAAATATTCTCTTTATGTCTCTTTAGGACTTTTTATGTCTTTCGCCACTGGAACTTATGAAGATCACTGGCCTTAGTTATCGAGGCGTCCATGAACTTCTGTGTGTGGTCAGCAGGGCCTGTGCTCCACAGATGCAAACGGTATATATATATTTTATTGTGATTTGATTTTGATTTTGGAATGATTCTTCATATCATTTCAAATATTTTTTTGGGATGAGGCAAAAGCAAAAACAATACATCAGAAATATTGACTTGCCCTGGCTGGTTTGGCTCAGTGGTTAGTTAGAGTGTTGGCCCGTGGACCAATGAGTCGCGGGTTCGATTCCAGCCAAGGGCACGTACCTTGGTTGTGATTCATCCCCGGGTCTGGTTGGGGTCGTGCGGAGGCAGCCTCTTGATGTGTCCCTTTCACATTGATGTTTCTCTCTCTCTCCTTCTCTCTCTTCCTTTCTCTCCTTCCCACTCTATCTGAATAAAACAATGACAGAATGTCCTCGGATGAGGATAAAAAATATATGTATATTGACTCTTACACCAGAATTAGTCTTCTAATGAGAATATATTTATGTAGTTTATAAGCTCCTGGGAGATAGTTCCTAATTATGGGAATGAGGGGACAATAGAAAGTTTTTTCTTTGTAGCTGAAGTGATATTTCAAAAGGTCATCTTTCTCTTTTTGTTTGGGTAGGATTTGTGGACCTCATGGTTAAATTATAATATACTTTTTATTTATTTTTTAACTGATTTTTAGGGAGAGAAGAAGGGAGGGGGAGAGAGAGAGATAGAAACATCAATGAGAGAGAACAGTGATTGGCCGCCTCCTGCATACCCCCACTGGGGATCGGGCCCACAACCTGGGCATGTGCCCTGACTGGGAATCGAACCAGCGACTTCTTGGTACATGGGTCAATGTTCAACCACTGAACCACACCAGCTGGGTGAAATTATAATATATTTTTAATTTTAGAATTTCTCTGTCTCTGTAATACTAACTTTTACCATTATCACTTAATGTACATTATAAAGTACATATAATAGATTTACACTTGTTTATTGATTGAAGAAATAATACTTAAAAACTTATCCTTACCCTTAAGAAGAGTCAAAGTCTTTTATAGCAAACCCTCATCAAGTTGTATTATTTTTTTCATATGTTTTGTCTCATGACTTGAGCTTTTCTAATTGTAGGTTTGATGCATGGTGGAGAAGATATTATTTTCCTAGAATAATTGTTGCCTAAAAGTCTTTCCAATGTTTTACAAATGTATTTATTTATGTGGATTATAAATTACTTTACTCTCTCATGTTGAAGTTTGAGAACCACCGAACAATAGAGTGCAGTTCTGTGAAGTAGGAAGTGTCATTTGAGACTTCTGAATCAATGGACAGAAAAGGTATTTTCTTTTGTTCAGATTTAGCTTGCGATCTAAGGAATATACCTTTTTTTTTTTTTTTATCCTCACCCGAGGACATTTGTTCATTTTTTTGTTCAGATAGAGTAGGAGGGAGAGAGAGGAAGAGAGAGAGAGAGAAACATCGACGTGAAAGGGACACATCGAGTGGCTGCCACCCGCACGACCAACCAGGGCCGGGGACAAACTGCAACCGAGGTACGGCTCCCTCAGCGGGAACCGAACCCCAGTCTCTCCCGACCGCAGGCTGATGCTCTAACCACTGAGCCAAACTGGCCAGGGCTAAGGAATATACCTTAAAGGCAGAGCAAGTAGAAGGAGAATTAGAATCAGAGGTAGAGTTTGACACTAATCTTACCTTTGTCATTGATCTCATAGCTTTGGACAGCTCACTTTGTTTTACTGGAGATAGTATGAGATGATTCTGTGACTAGATTCAAAATAACTTGTTACCATTTCAAAGGTTGGAAAGCACCAGGAAAACCTTTAACTTGACATTTGTTATTCTACTCAGTCAATATCTATGGCATATTTCTCATTAGGTAATAAGAGAGCATGGACAGGAAATTCACTTTAGTTTCCACTTACATCACCACTTCAGCTGCAATTTCAAGATTTCATCTTTCTCGCCCTGGCTGATGTTGTTCAGTGGTTAGAGCATTGGCCCACAGACTGAAGGGTCACGGGCTTGATTTCTGGTCAAGGGCATGTATCTGGATTGCAGGTTTGATTCCCAGCCCTGGTCAGGGTCGTGCAGGAGGCAACCAGTCGATGTGCCTCTCTCACACCGATGTTTCTCTCTCTTCCCTTCATTCCCTCCCTTCCACTCTCTAAAAATCAGTGGAAAAAATATCCTTGGGTGAGAATTAAAAAAAAAGAATTACTCTTTTTTGCTGTACATTCACTCTTGTAGCATTCTTTAGATTTTAGTCCTGCTTTAACATTGGCTTAGCCTTAGTTCATTCCTTTAAGAAAGATTTTTTTTGCCTATTTATTTATTCAGTCATTTATTCTTTCCACCAATATTTATTGAGTGCCAGCCACATGTCAGGTACTTTGTCAGGTACTGGGAATATTGTAGCGAACACGACTGATAAGTTCCTGCCTTCCTGTAGCTTATAGTGTAGTGGGAGAAGTCAGACATTAAACAAATAATTACCTAAATATTTAGTTAATTGTAGTAGTGATAAGTCCTATAAAGGAAAAGTTCAAGGAGCTTTGAAACTTAATAACAGGGGACATTACTTAATTTGGGGAAGGGCTCCCACAGAGAAGCAACACTTTAGGCTAAAACCTGAGGGATGAATAGAGAGAGAAGCACAGGAGCTGGGAAGGGAGGTGAGCAGGGAAGAGTTCAACAGGAGTGCGGCTAGCAAAAGGCTCTGTAAAGAGAAGCTGCATGGTGCTTGCATGGCCACGCTGCTGTGAATGGAATGTAGCAGCGAGGAAGACAGTGGCAGGAGGTGAAGTCAGCTAAGTAAGCAGGAGTCAGACAACGTTAAGGATCTTGACCTTTATTCTGGGAGCAATGAGAAGCCATAAAAGGGTGTAATCTAATATGTGTTTTAGAAACTCAGTCTTGACCACAGACAAGTAAGTGATTGAAAAGGAGCAAGAAAATATTTGTGAAGAATAGTTAGATATCTATTAATATATTCCAGACAGAAAGTGATTCTGACACAGATTATTAGTGTGGTGTTAATACAGATGGTATAATGTCAATTAATATGAGAGATATTGAGGAGGTAGAATGAATTGGATTTGTTCATTGTCTTTGGGTTGTGGTGAGTACAGTAAACCTTGCTATAACGGACTAATTCTGGTAAGGGGGTTGTCTATTAAAGTTGAAAGTCATTTATATAATAAAGTGCGTTTTCTGAATGCATATGTTAAAAAATTGACAAATTAGTTTACCTGTTTTTGCTTATGTAGACACGTTTGTGTAATTAAAATTAAATATGTATGAAAAGTCTAATTTCACAGATAAGTTTTCTACATGTATTACTGTAATTTTAAATTTATACTGAATAGGTCTAGTAAATCTGTGTTCTCACCAGTCACCTTGAGTAAACAGATGCACACGGCTGGTGCGTGGCTTAGTGCAGGTGGAAACATCTGCCTGCACATGTTAAAACTACTACAGAAAGTCACGCCATGTGACAACAGAACAAATTACTGCAAACCATGTGGTGTGATCACGTGCTAATCATGCGCCGAACATTGTTTATGAGCAGTGACTCTTGGATTTAAGTAGACTATAGTTGTAGATATGTAATATTTACTTACGTCAGTGAAATTACTACAGTGTTTTGTTCAACATATGGCTTATTTGCTAAAATGTGTTAAAAGTAGCAGTGAATTAATAACAAAAATAACCTGTTAATTTATTTTATTTTTATTAAAAAAGTTTTTGTATTTATTGATTTCAGAAGAGAGAAGAAGGGAGAGGGAGAGAGAGACAGAAACATCAATGAAAGAGGACACTGATTGGCTGCCTCCTGCATGCCCCCCACTGGTCATCGGGCCCACAACCTGGGCACGTGCCCTGACTGGGAATTGAACCGGCAACCTCTTGGTACATGGGTCGATGTTCAACCACTGAGCCACACCAGCCGGGCCCTGTTAATTTAATTCTAAGCAAATCTTGTTTAAAAACATTTTAAATTTAACAGGATGTTAATTTTCACATATGGCATATGGACCGGAAATTTTGTGTTTAATCTGAAGTTCGTTAAATTGAGGTCCACAGAATGGAGGGTTTACTGTACAGGAAAGTGTCAAATGATTCTTGATTTTTTTGCTTTGAGAAACTGGGTGGTACCATTTCCCGAGATAAGGAATACTAGAAGAGGATCAGGTTAGACCATGAATTCAGTTTAGTACTTGTTGAAATGCGGGTGCTTGTGAAACACTGAGCAGAGATGTGAGGTAGGCTGTTAAATAGGGAGGGGCAAAAGTAGGTTTACAGTTGTTTGTATGGAAAATAATATAAGAATTAATAAATAATACAAGAATAAACTCTGTGTTTTGTGGACATGAAGCATGGAGGAGAGGTCTGCACCAGAAGTATGCATTTGGGAGTCCTCACTGTAAATATGGTAGTCAAAGCCATGGGAATGGAAGAGCAGTTGCCTAGCAAGTAAATACAGTAAGAAGATAAGTATACCCCAGACCAAGCCCTGAGTGACGCCAACATTTAAGGATGAGCTTAGGCTCATGGTCAAGATGGCAGCGTAGGTAAACTCGGTATCGTGTCCTCCCACAACCACATCAAAGTTACAACTAAACTACAGAACAACCATCATTCAAAACTGCCTGAAATCAAGCTGAATGGAAGTCCTACTGCATCGAGTCTGGTAGGAGGGCGGAGGCATGATGGGCTGGCCCCACACCCACATGTGGCGGATAAAAATCAGGAGGACACCTCAGCTGGGAAAGTCCTCCCTGAAGACTGAGGGGTCCCAGTCCCACACCAGGCATCCCGCTCAGGGTTCCAGTGCCAGGAAGAGAAGTCCCCATCACTTCTGGCTGGAAAAACCAGCGGGAACTGAGGCTCAGGGAGGCTGAGGCAGCTGGAGCCCTAGGCTGCTCCTTAAAGGGCCCGCGCACGGACTTATCGGACTCTCTCCCTCTGAGCTTGGAGGAGAGGCAGCTCGAGGGGCGCCAGAGACATACAGGGAAGAACTGAGCTGTTTGGCACTGGTGCGAGGGCTGGAAAGGGGGCTTTCTCTGCGACAAACTTGCTGTTGGAGGCCTTTGTTCCTTTGGTGAGCCCTTCCCTGGGGCGGCAGACAGCGGCCCTATCTGGGACTCCAGCAACCTGGCTCACACTGGTAGCTCCGCCCTGGTGATTCCTTGAGGCCCCGCCCCACCCAACTTTCAGGCCCACCCAAGCTGTTGCCAGTTGCTTCACCATAGGATTGGCCTGTCTTGGATCCTGCTTCAGGTTGTCCTAAATTCTTTCAAACAAGCAGCATCTGGTCTCAGCTAGCCCTATACCTCCCGTTAAGTAATACACAGAACAAGCACAGGGAGGCAGCCAAAATGAGGAGACAAAGAAACAGGTCCCAAATGAAATAACAGAACAAAACCCCAAGAAAAGAACTAAGCAAAATGGAGATAAGCAACCTAACAGATGCTGAGTTCACAATATTGCTTATAAGGATGCTCAGTGAACTTAGTGAGAACCTCAGCGAACTTAGTGAGGGCCTCAAGAGCATAAAAAAAAGGACCAGTCAGAAATCATGGATTCACAGTCAGAAATGAAGGAGGCATTAACTGAAATAAAGAATAATTTACATAGATTCAATAGTAGAGTAGGTAAATCCAAGAAGCAAACCATTGATTTGGAATATAAAGAAGCAAAAACACCCAATCAGAACAGTAAAAAGAAAAAAGAATCCAAAAAAATGAGGAGAGTGTAAGGAGCCTCTGGGACAACTTCAAGTGTGCCAACATTCGCATCTTGGGGGTGCCAGAAGGAGAAGAGAGAGAACAAGAAATCCAAAACCTGTTTGAAACGATAATGGCAGAAAACTTCCCTAACTTGGTGAAGGAAACAGACATACAAATCCAGGAAGCACAGAGAGTCCCAAACAAGATGAACTCCAAGAGGCCCACACCAAGACACATCATCATCAAAATGCAAAAGATTCAAGACAAAGAATCTTTTTTTTTTTTATCCTCACCCGAGGACATTTTTCCATTTTTTGTTCAGGTAGAGTAGGAGGGGGAGAGAGGAACAGAGAGAGAGAGAAACATCGACGTGAAGGGACACATCGAGTGGCTGCGACCCGCACGACCAACCAGGGCCGGGGACAAACTGCAACCGAGGTACATGCCCTTAGCGGGAACCGAACCCGGGTCTCTCGGGACCGCAGGCCGACGCTCTAACCGCTGAGCCAAACCGGCCAGGGCAAGACAAAGAATCTTAAAAGCAGCAAGAGAAAAGCAGCTAGTTACCTACAAGGGAGTTTCCATAAGGCTGTCAGCTGATTTCTCAAAAGAAACTTTGCGGGCCAGAAGGGAGTGGCAAGAAATATTCAGAGTGATGAAAAGCAAGAACCTACAACCAAGATTACTCTATCCTGCAAAGCTGTCATTTAGAATTGATGGCCATATAAAGAGTTTCCCAGACAAGAAAAAGTTAAAGGAGTTAATCACCACCAAACTGTTATTATATGAAATGATGAAGGGTCATTTTGAAGAAAAAGATAAAATATATGAACAAACAAAATGGCAATGAATACATATCTATCAACAATGGAATCTACAAACAAAACGAACAGGCAGAACAGAAACATTCTCATAGATACAGAGAACATTTTGTTGGTTGCCAGATGGGAGGGGGAGCTGGGGGAATGGGTGAAAAAGGTGAAGGGATTAAGAAGTACAAATTCATTGCTAGACTTACAAACCTGAAAAGGAAAGGGGTTGGGGGGTGGGAAGAAATAAACCAAAGAACTTATATGCATAACCAATGGACACAGACCATAGTGTGGGAAAAGGCGGGAGGGGGGCGGGAGTGGGGAGGAGGGGGTCATTGGGGCAAAAATGAGGAACATCTGTAATGCATTCAACAATAAAGGTTTAAAAAAAAAAAAAGAAAAGGCCCTGGCCGGTTTGGCTTAGCGGTTAGAGCGTCGGCCTGCGGTCCCGAGAGACCCGGGTTCGGTTCCCGCTAAGGGCATGTACCTCGGTTGCAGTTTGTCCCCGGCCCTGGTTGGTCGTGCGGGTGGCAGCCACTCGATGTGTCCCTTCACGTCGATGTTTCTCTCTCTCTCTCTTCCTCTCTCTCCCTCCCTCTCTATCTGAACAAAAAATGTCCTCGGGTGAGGATAAAAAAAAAAAAGAAAAGTAAAAAAAAATAAAATAAAAAAAAATAAAGATGAGCTTAGACAATAAGGAATCTGAGAGGAAGCAACCACCAAAGTAGAAGAAAAGCTGGTGGAATGTCATATCACAGTATTACTCTGTCTCATTTGTGCATATACTGTTATTTCTAGAGTCTTGGTTTGTTTTTTTTTAGTTCATTTGTTTTATATACTTTTGAGAGTCACCAAATATATTATTCTAGTGATTATACTTATAGTTGCAAATGAAGTACTTTAATGCTGACAGATTGGGCTGCCTTTACATGTTTGATAAAGTATCTCCACGTCCATGTTGCCTGATGATGGATGTGGACAATATTCACATATTTCTAAATCAGATGCAAGCCACACAGCTTTGACCGTAGCTTTTCTGATTATTTTATGTGCCTCAATATAGCCTTAAAAAATTTGTGGTCTTCCTGTGTGAGACTCGGGTAACTGTCAAGATAGTATATGCTGAAGCCCTTTCTCGTCCCTTGAGTTGGAATGAAGTTGTTGGATGAATTTTCCCTTTGACAATATTTGGTGCAGTAACATACTTTACAACCAAAGGGATGGTAGATGCAGTTGATCCAACCAGAAAGCAAAAGGTAGAAGCTCAGAAACAGGCGGAAAAGTTAATGAAGCAAATGGGTGTGAAAAATGTGAAACTTTCAGGACATGAAATGAGTTTTGCTGCTCACCTTGTAGACCCGCTTAACATGCATGTTACGTGGAGTGGTATAGCAGGGTTAGATGATGTTGTCATGGATCTGAAAGACCCTGTCATCTTACCTATCAAGAAGAAACACTTGTTTGAAAATTCCAGGCTTCTGCAGCCCCCAAAAGGTATTCTTCTCTATGGCCTCCGGGCTGTGGTAAAACATTGATTGCCAAGGCTACAGCCAGAGAAGCAGGCTGTCTGTTTATTTACCTTCAGCCTTCAACACTGACAGATAAGTGGTATGGAGAATCTCAGAAATTAGCTGCTGCTGTTTTTTCCCTTGCCATAAAGCTACAGCCTTCCATCATCTTTATAGAAGAAATAGACTCCTGTCTACGAAACCGTTCAAGTTCTGACCATGAAGCTACAGCCATGATGAAAGCTCAGTTTATGAGTCTCTGGGATGGGTTGGATACTGATCACAGCTGCCGGGCCATAGTGATGGGAACTACTCATCGCCCTCAGGATCTCGACTCAGCTCTAATGAGAAGAATGCCTACAAGATTTCATATCAGTCAGCCTGCTCTGAAACAAAGAGAAGCAATCCTGAAACTCATCTCGAGGAATGAAAATGTGGGTAGGCATGTGGACCTGCTAGAAGCTGCCCAGGAAACTGATGGGTTTTCAGGAAGTGACCTAAAAGAGATGTGTCCAGGTGCTGCCCTTCTCCATGTCAGGGAAGATGTTAATTCAGAGGAAAGCCACGACGAGAATGAAATTCAGCCTGTGCAACAACAGGACCTGCATCGGGCAATTGAAAAGATGAAGAAATCAAAGGATGCAGCATTTCAGAATGTTTTAACACGTTTGTTTATGTTAAGAGTAAAGGTCATTTGTACAGGTCAGCGTGACCTGGTTTGGTGGCCCTGTTATCATTAGTGGAGGTAGAATGGAAGGAGCGTTCTTTAAACAGCGGGGGCGTTGAATGACACTGGTTTTATACTCTGAGTTCTAAGTTACTGAGATGTAGTTGTTACACAAAAGGTATTACCACTTGTCAGATACCATGAGGGTGAACAATTTAATCCAGCCTGCCTGTGGGTGCTCGTGTTTGACCTTTTAGGCCATATGTTGCAGCCTTATAGCATCTAAGCTGGTCTTAACAGGTGATCCGTTGAGTCATTAGTGAGAAATGGAGACGTGGTAAGTGCTGCTTTCTAGTGTATGTGTGTATTAAATGTATATATTCACACATTTTATTTATTTATTTTGTACATGTGCCCCTAGTGGGAAGTGAACCTGGGACTCTCTGATCCGCAGGCCCATGCTCCAAACACTGAGCCATACCAGCCAGGGCTATTCACACATTTTATGTTAACAATCTGTAGATATGTTTGAATACAAAGACTTTTTTTTTTTTTTTTTACCTAAACTACTGAATCAAAAAGTACCAAATACTATATAGCGAAACTAAGATTGAAGGTTGTGTCTAAAAGGTACAATGATTCAGCCATTTTCAGTTGTCACTTGTTTTAGCTTTTTAAAAAGTCTGAGTGTTCTCTGCAGTTGAATAATTGGAGTCAGCCACATCTGAATATTCAGTTGTTCAATTATTATAGTTATCAGAATGACCAAATAACAATACTTGTTCAGAGAGCAGCATTGAATGGTTTTCAGGCAGTTGTGTGATCAATCAACACCCATTTCACCTTTCCGCAAGCACGCTGAGGCATTTTTAAATCGATATACATGAAGGTGATTGAAAGCCATTTGAAAGAATGGCTTTGAAAAACTTCAGTGCCATACAATACATGTGTGTGACTTCCCCTTTCTTCGTTTACTGTTACATTGTTCTGTTGTAACCATGTTTTTAAATGTTATTTTAAAGTTATATGTTCTTTATGGTCAAATACAATTTGGTCATCAAAAATAAAATGATAATTTAAAAGAAAAAATATCTGTGGTAATCCATGATTTAACTGAAATAAGAATTCAATAGGTAAGGTTAGAGAAGAGTGGGCACATTTATGGCTCATAAATATTAATATGTTGGTCTTCCTCACAGAGGCAGAAAAGCCTTGGATTTGAGACATAGATTTATTAAATTATAAACTTTGTAAGTGGGTAGAAACTGTGTCTGTTAAGTTTACCATTGTATTCCCAGAGCCAATCATAGTATATGGCAGCAGTAGGCACTCTAATTTATTGAATGAATGCATTTTTATGGCTTGATTTCATTCATAAAAATGAAATTTTTAATGGTAGAGACTCCAAGGTGCAGGTGTTCTTATACATTACTAGTGGGCATGTAATCACATTAATCACATCTGCAAAGGTAAGTTTTCCAAATAAGGTGGCAGTCACAGGTTCCAAGGATTGGACGTGGATATTTCGCAGCCTGCCACACCTGCCTTCTAGCTATTCCTCACAAACCAACTCGGTTTGAAGTGACACCTTGATCACATCTCTCTGTTGCCCTCGGCATAAACTCCAAACTTCAACAAGGTTCTTTGTGATTTGGCCCCTGCTTATTTCTCTCGCCTTATCTCTTTCCATACCACAACCACACTCCATCTTTCAACCATTCTGCACACATTCTTTATTTTTGGTAGTTTCTATTTGTTGTCGACCTTTCTTTCCACATTCTCCCTTCAGCAGGAACGTGCACATCTCTTTGCCCGTCTAAGAGCTAGTTCAGATTTTAGTTTAGTCTAGCTCTTCTGTGAAGTCTTCCTGGATCACAAAATCCAGGGGAGGTGCACTGTCTTTATGTCTCCACTTTCCTTACCACAGTATCTCTTATTAATTGTATAGTAACTGCCCAGAGTCTAGGCCTAATAGTTGACTATAAGTACTGTGAGGGTAGGGGCTCTGTGTGTTAAATCATATCCCCATAATCTAGCTCAGTTCCTGGCAAAGAGTAAATATTTGTTGAAAAAATTAGAGAGGATAAAAAGATGGAATTGGTGTTCTAACTGCTAAAGTTTGAGGTTTCTGAATAGATATGGAGGTTGAAAGAAGTTAATCTTTTTCTCGTTCAGGCTTATGAGATAAAAGCTCAGAGGTCTGCTGCCCTCTCGCCAGCATTCTTATCTACAAGCCTTTCTGCTTTGGACGAAGCCCTGCGTGGTGGTGTAGCTCGTGGATCCATCACAGAGGTAAAGGAGACTCTTTCCAAACCTTTCCCAGTAACCTATTACTTTCAGAGCCAGGGGAAAAAGTTTAGTTAAAAAAAACACATTCTTTCATGAATAGTAATCTGAATTACGTTATAAGCACCTCAGGACATGGTTCTCTATCAGTGTCTAGTATAGTTGTTCTGCAAAAAGATGTTAAAAAATAATTCTTGTTGCCCTGGCCTGTTTGGCTCAGTGGTTGGAACGCGTTCAATTCCTGGTCAAGGGCATATACCTGGGTTGCAGGTTTGATCTCTGGCCCTGGTTGGGGTGCATTTAGGAGGCAACCAATTGATGTATCTTTCTCATATTGATGTTTCTCTCTTTCTCTCTCTCTCTCCCTCCTTCCTTTCCTTCCACTCTCTCTAAAAATCAATGGAAAAAATATCCTTGGGAGAGGATTAACAAAACAAACAAACAAAAATCCTTGTTGATTGACTGGTCTGCTTTGGTTGCTGTTTGAAAGTGATCATCACTTAGAAAGTGATGAATATTATAAAATAATATTAAACAATATGGGGAAATTATAAAAGGATCACTACTTAGTGTATTAGGGAGGAAAATTTGAAATTTTTTTTTTTAATCCTCACTTGAGGATAATTTTCTATTTATCTTCAAATAGAATGAGAGGGGAGAGAGAGAGAAACATCCATGTGAGACGGACGCATCAACTGGCTGCCTCCTGTACGACCCCGACCAGGGCTGGGGACGTACTGCAACCGAGATACATGCCCTTGCCAGAATTGAACCCGTGACCAATGGGCTGACGCTCTAACTGCTGAGCCAAGCTGGCCAGGGCAAAAATTTAAAGTTTTATTAACATGTGGGCAAATTATAGTATTAAACAGAAATGAGCTGTTTTTACTTCCTTGTGGATAGAATTTGGTTGCAAGTGATAGGTATTAGTTATATATTGTTACATAACAAATGACCTCAAAACTAAGTGGCTTAAAACAACACAAAAACCCTTACTGATTTTGTTTCCTTGGGAATGGCGTATCGTAGCTTGGTGATCTTCATGAGGAATGCTGTATCTGGGGGCTTGATGTGGCGGGAGGATATTTCCAAGGGGCTCACTCATGACTGGCAAGTTGGTGCTGCTTGTTGATGGAGCTCACAGTTCCTTCCCAAGCCGGCTCTCCACAAGCTACGTGAGTCTTCTTGTGACGTGAAGGCTGATTTGCTGCAGGATGTGTGATCCAAATGAAGGCAAGATGGAAGTGGCCCTGCCTTTGATGATTTAACTGTGGGAGTTACATCATTACTTCTGCCATACTGTCTTCAGTAGGAGTGTCAGTAAGTCCAGCCTGTGTTCAAGGACAGGGAAATTAGGCTCTATGATTTGAAAGAGGTGTCACGATAGCATTTGAGGACATTTAGAAACCACCACTGCCCAGGCCGGCTTAGCTCAGTGGTTAGAGCATCAGCCCGTGGACCAAAGAGCCTCAGGTTTGATTCTGGTCAAGGACATGTGCCTCAGTTGCAGTTCAGTTCCTGGCCCTGGTTGGGGTTGTGTGTGGGGCGACCAATCGAAGTGTCTCTCAATGTCAATGTTTCTCTCTCTCTCTCTCCCCCTCTCGTGCACCCTCTCTCCCACTCTATCTGAAGATAAGTGGAAAAATATCCTTGGGTAAGGATTTAAAAAAAAACCTACCACAGTTCTTTTTCTTGAAAATTGCATTGGTGTGTTCACTGGTCCTGATGTGGTGAATCGATAGACTATATTTACCAATACATTCCTGAAAGACTTCTTGCCTGAGTTCCAGGGGTATAGATTTAAACAAACTTCTAAACAAGAGCCGACTTTTACATTCTGATAGTCATATATTTTACTGTAACCTTTTTCCTTGAATAAACCTTATCTTGCCCGGCTGGTGCGGCTCAGTGGTTAAGCGACGACCCATGCACCAGGAGGTCGCCATTCAATTCTCGGTCAGGGCACGTGCCCAGGTTGTGGGCCAAATCCCCAGTGGAAGGCATGCAGGAGACAGCCAATCGATATTCTCTCTCATTGATGTTTCTCTCTCTCCCTCTCCTTTCCTCTCTCTTTCAAATAAAAAAAAAATTCTTTTTAAACAAAACAAACAAACAAAAACATTATCTTATTTCCTGTCTTCCAAGAAAGATTTAAAAATGTGTGTGTACTATGGCCAGTATTTCCTATTAGATAGTTGGTAAACCAATGAATGAGAGGCGTCCGCGTAATTGTAAAAAAAAGAAAAATTTAGAACCTGCTGTTGCGGAGTACTGCCACCAGATGGTGCCAGATTTCTATTTTATATAATAATTTTGTGATTTAGTTGGATCTTTGTAACAGTAGTGATCCACTATTGTTTATAAGTTTATGTCATAAACTTATTTATTTAAAAAAATTTTTTTCTTTATTGATTTTAGAGAGAGAGGAAAGGAGAGGGAAAAACAAACATTGATGAGAGAGAACATCAACTGGCCGCCTCCTGCATGCCCCGCACTGGGGATTGGGCCCACAACCTGGGCATGTGCCCTGACCAGGAATTGAACCAGTGACCTCTTGGTGCATGGGTCGATGTTCAGCCACTGAGCCATTGAACCACACTGGCCAGGCAATCATAAACTTATTTAAATAACAAAAAATTGAATATAAGGAAGATTAACCAACAACTACTTCTTATTTTTTAAGTTTTAGAATAACTTTCAATACTTTTCACTTCGTTTTTACAATTCTTGCTGAATCCAAGCAGTAGTCACAAGCCATTGAAGTGTTTTGTCATGATCTACTTGGCTGAATTGGAATGTACATCTGATTGTTTATTAGTAGCAAATTTTCTACTTTCTATTTCAGCTACAGTTAGCTTCTCCAATCTTGGGATTTTTCAGCTGAATACAGGGAGTATTTCTGTTTACTTTTTAATAAAAAACAAAATACTTATTTTATTTATACAGACTTAACTATATCCTACATGTGTAAGTTGTGAACCTCTATAAGCCCTTGACCCAATATCAGAACCAAAATAATACCAAAAACATTGAAACTAACTGTGGACTCTCCCCTGATCCTGTCTTTGGCTTTTTGTTGGGAGGTAACCTCCATTCTGAATTTCTACCATTCCTCTACTTTTCCCCCTGTAGTTTCCGATCGTTACCACCTGTATACATAAGAGATAGAACATTTTAGTTAGTTTTATTTCGTTAAATTCATTTATCCCTTCTCTTGTGATTGAACATTTGGGTTGTTTCCAGTTTGCTACTAATGTAAACAAGTTCTATGAAACTGTTACACATGTCTCCTTGATCACACTATAGGTATTTCTTTAGGGCAGGGATTGGCAAGCTACTTACTACCCAGTGGTCAAATCTGGCTAACTGCCTGTTTTTGTAAATAAAGTTTTATTGTAACATAGCTATGCTCATTTATTTACATTTTGTCTGTGGCTACAAGGCAGAGGTGAGTTAGTTGTGACAGTGGTCTACAAAGCCTAACATATTACTACCTGGCCTTCATCTAGGGTATCTGCTTTGAAATGATTTGCTGATTATAGGATATGTGCATGTGTAGCTTTGCAGCATCAGGGCAAATTGTTTTTCAGAGTGGTTGTGCCTGTTTATATTCCTATGAGCAGTTGTCAACGAATTCCTTTTGCTCTGTATTCTCTTGTCTTGGTATTATCAGACTTCTTAATTTCTGCTTATCTTTGTAATCTTAGTTTTCATTTTCCTGATTTCTTTTTTTCTTTTTATGTTTATTGATTTTTAGAGAGAAAAGAAACATCGATGTGAGAGAGAAACATTGATTGGTTGCCTCCTGTACGCACCCCAACTGGGGATTGAACCTGCAACCTAGGCATGTGCCTTGACTAGGAATTGAACTTCAAATCTTTTGGTGTACGGGAAGACGCTCCAGCCAACTGAATAACCTGGCCAGGGCTCATTTTCCAAATTTCTAATGAGCTTAAATATCTTTCATAAATTGCCCTGGCCAGTTTGGCTCAGCGGTTGGAGCGTGGCCTGCGGTCTAGAGAGACCCAGGTTCGGTTCCTGCTAAGGGCACGTACCTAGGTTGTAGTTTGTCCCCGGCCCTGGTTGGTCGTGCGGGTGGCAACCACTCGATGTGTTCCTTTCATATCGATGTTTCTCTCTCTTCCTTTCTCTCCCTTCCACTCTATCTGAACAGAAAATGGAAAAATGTCCTCAGGTGAGGATTAAAAAAAAAAAAAAAAACTTTCATAAATCATTTTGCTATTAATAAATAATTTTATTAAGGAACAATTTAAATACTATAAAATTCAACCATTGTAACTGTCTATAATTAGTAAATTTATGTTAAATCATCATCACAATCCAGTTTTAGAATATTTCCATCATCCTAAAATAAAATGTTCCCTTGTGCCCATTTGTAGTTAGTCTCTGCTTCCATCCTTAGCCCAAGGCACCCATCTGATCAGCTTTCTGTCTTTATCAACTTGCCTTTTCTAAACATTTCATATAATTGAATCATATAATATGTAGTCTGTTATATCTGGTTTCTTTCACATAGCATTATATTTTTGAGGTTCATTACTGTTGTTGCATGTAATAGTTTTTCCTTTTAAGTGTTGAATAGTATTCTATTGTATGTCTATAGCACATTTTGTTTATCTACTCATTAGTTGATGGAAACTTGGATTGTTTCCAGTTTTTGTCTATCAGGAATAATGCTACTGCAAACACTCATAGACATGTCTTTGTGTGAACTTAGGTTTTTGTTTCTCTTGGGTGGATTCCTAGGAATAGAATGGCTAGATCATATGATAGGTGTGTGTTTAATATTTAAGAAACTGTCAGACCACTTTCCAAAGTGGCCGTACCATTTTACATTCTCACCAGCAATGCATGATGGCTTGTTTCACCATTTCCATACCAATATTTAGTATAGATTTTTTAAAAATATGTTTTTATTGATTTTTTTGTTAGAGAGAGAGAAAAATCTATTGGCTGTCTCCTGCATGCCCCCCACTGAGGATCAA